TATTTATTTAAACACATAAATATTGGTACAAAGAGGCACCAGATACATATGCGCCACACAAATCTCATTTGATTTGTGCGAGGGCTGTGATACTGCCCAGGTACCCAAACTGAGGCAGGTGGTTTTCTTAGGGGGCTACACTCGGAGCCTTTGACCTGAAGGTCTAGTCCACAAGGCAATGGAGCATCGTGAGGATATGCAGTTCCATGGTCGTCGGTGACCAACGATTGATTCATACGCTATTTGTTCCCTCAGGATACTGGAGCCCATGTGCACCAATGGTTTGGAATGAGGGTTTTCCAACTCCCATTGGTGGATCCTCCGTGTCCACCAACCCTGTTAAAGCGCCGGACATTCGCTTTTCGTCCTCTCGATTTCGTAAACAAAAGTAATGCTAAGAGAAGGCAGTGAGTAGGAATTTTTTGGCTGAGGCTATATACGCGTGGCCGTGTGAGAGCGGTTCGCAAGGGAGAGTGGACTCTCCCTACTCTCGGAATTGGGAGCTTAATAATTTGCTGAGTAGTTTGGATGCTCAAACCAAGACATGAAATCAGTTCACAAAGTCATTACCTGTTGAACTGAGTCATATTGGTGAATTTAGACCAACTGTTTGAAATCTGTGCAATCCATGGTTGAAGATGCATCACAATGGCTCAGATAAATTTATTCTTTATTCTACCATAAACACTGAGCTTCAGTATCATTTCGTATTTTGTATGCATTGGATTTATTCCTTTTTCTAATGTTTAATCTGCTTCACTTTCATTGATATTACTATTATTCTCTTTCAGTATTCATTTTGTAAGTTTCCTCGCCCGTATCCATATAGTAAGGGCTCTTGAACCGTACATTAATTATAACTGATTGACATTTTTGTCAACTTACATTATTTGTGACTGACTGGTTCATTTTGAAGAAGAAACTTGTCTAACCTTTAAACAGCATAATTAATTTTCAGGAACTGTTTGATGGCTTTTGGTATTAGTTAATGGATTGCTTATAAACTTCTATGTAAAATTAACAGTAGAGTTTATACGGTATCATATAACAAATACACTGTTTTTTCCTTCGATAAACAGTCAACTATTATAAATATCAATGGAAGAACAACAATAATCGCACACTTAATACCATATCCAAATACTCATGCTTCTTCATACATTTTGTCTCCTTTAGAAATTTAAACGTAACAATAACGACAATATATGCAGAATACAATGAGTTCATTGTATTTTGTTGTTTACATCATGATAAAGCCTAAAGCAGTAAAGTTGCAGGTTCAGGAATAAATCCGTACTGTCAACGGTACTGGGTTATGATAAATGCTTTCTATAGATAACCGACATCTCCATCGGCGCTTCAAAACGGAAACCAAGATTAAAATTTAGCCGACCATAAGTAAAATACACCTCACTTTGCCCCATGGATTTCTATCATTAGTAATATTATCCGAATACCATGGAGCTAACGCATTTCAAAGTACTCACAAAATATCCATTTATGATCTGCCTCAGGTAGCTGTCCCTCCAGCTCCGCAATCACATCCTTAAGTTGATTACACTATCACTAACCTAGTTTTTTTCTCAGTTCCTCACAAAAAGTATCCTTTCATAATGTGATTAAATACATAGTGAGAACTAATCTCATAATTTTAATACCATTTAAGCTTTTCAGTTCATTTTTCTAGTAAATAAATGTTATTACTGACAAAAACCTAGTGTAAGAATAGATAGTAAATGAACGTTTTTAGATTTGACAGTGACGTATTAACGGTTAAAACACAACTTTCAATGTATAGATTACAGGTTTCAAGCCCATTACATCTATGTTGGTTAAGACAGGATAATATCACGAAACTATACTTATTAAAGTATAGCTTAAAGCTTATATTTGGCAGACCAATTATACTAACATTATTTATCAATATTAGTAATAATTAAATATTTATTTTGATACAGTCTTCATATATAACGGTTATTCATAATTAGTCAGAGACAAGTCGTCATTAGCTTAAAGCGAATTAGGTATTTGATGCTATTTTGAATTGATCCGAAAATGATTTTCATGTAAATTAATAACAGTCAACGTGTACTCTCTTACTCTTACTACTTCTACTACTATGGGATTTGAATCGACAACTGCATCTCTGTGCTAATGTGGTATGGCAACTCGGACTGATGTACGTACGTACGAAGTTCTACGTTGTGGCTGACTGACTGATTTTTCCATTATGAATTTCTGCCGATTCATTGGAAGTCTAGACGTCCCAGTGTATTTAATCAAAATCTTGTTTATTAGTTCACTTTATAAGTCGTCAAGTGATGGCTGTAGTTTATTTCTTTGTAAATTAATTGATACTTAAATTGTGACTTAGTTTTTATTTTCTCTCAATGTGTGTTAGTACAAGATGTAGTCAGTTCTGTCGACATATCATAGTGCTTCTTGTGAAGCCATTCAAAACTTTATAATTAATTGTAACAAGTTCTTGATTGTTAAACGACAATGTTCAGACTTATTGTTTAACAGTTATGAACATGAATATCAACTCTCAATACACTAACTACTCCGTTTCTCTCATTATATAAATAAATATTGAAGATTAATTCCTTTTACTGAATCAGTACCTCAGTTATTTAAAGGTAAACGGAAGCTTTGTATTTAGATAGTTTAACTATTATAGCTCAAAATGGATAGTAATTGCATAAATGTGTTCATTAAGTCCACATCAATTTTTGCATAGTATTTCCTTAAAGTTGTTAAGTGTCCATATGTAAATGTATATATGTGTATTGATTAGCGTTTTAACCCAAACATCTCGGTGACTGCGGCCAGGTTTATTCATAGCTGATGTCTGCACGTAGTGGTTGGGTTAGATCATTACAAAGACCTGACCTAACTATAGTGGCTAATATACTTGTTCCCAGAGGTTCTACTATCGCACTCAACTCGGTTGACTAACAGTGAGACTAAAAATACAAAATCTAATGTACGAGGACAAATGTGTACGGCCAACTATATTACGGCCTAATGACAGCAAGATGTTTCCCATAAATAACTGGAGTCTCTAGCGATATTGCCTGTATACACCCATAGTATTTTCAAATAGAATTAGATTTCTTACATCTTTTTCTTGTGAAGTGATTTTAAATCAATATCCCATACATCATATTTCGTACATATGCTTTCTCATCATTTGAACCTTTGTTTAAATGAAGTCTATTTTCCTCTTCTAGTCAATTTCATTTACAGATTGTTTTTTATTTGGTCCCCATTATCCCTTGTACTGGCTTCTTTCTTTTTAAACTTTTTGTCATTCCCTCTACCTTCATATACACGGAATAAGATGTAAGTTATAAGGGAACGAGAGGAAGAACGACAGGTATTTGCGTTAAGTAGCTGAAATATTGATTAGTTTTAAGTTTACATATTTTATAGGAAAATCCATTGGGTGGAGATTGTAAACATTAATGAGTTTATCATTGTTAATTGTTATAAGACAAACAATTACAAACAGAGTAAACCTCTAAATTGAAGCTATCATCATAAATTGTTTAACATCTCGATAAAACATACATATGTTTATACAAGGAGAGATTAAATACCAACAAAATATATTGACTAAGCCGTTTAGAAGAAAGAGCTGAGTAGACTGTAAACTAGTGTATTTATAGGCCAATAAAGTGTTTGATATATTCCAGTGGATCATTGTTCGAAATCTTCGACACTTGACAATTCGATTTGACATTTGAGTGAACAGTAGTATCTGTGATGTCGACAAAGACCAAATAAAAGACATGGTTGGAGATTAAAGAGCGTATTTATGAAGTAAACAGTATTTGATAATCAATGAAACTGAGAATCTTGTTTAAAATGTAGAGTGAATACATGTGTTTTTGCAATCGATTCTGACTCATATCACCCAACATTTAACCATTGATGATTGTTACCATAGAGACCTCAACCAGGTAGTCTACACCCACTAATACAGATCAGGCCAATAGTTAATGCTTTCATGGACTGGTAATACTCTTGGCATGACTGCTTCGCAGCCTCCTTCCAATATACTTCAATGCTAGCCAATGTTGTACATTGAGGTATGCGTTAGTTAGATTTAAGTAACACATGTATTATTGTGAACAGAACACTGGTTGGGGACAATCGAATGTATTTAAGCAAAAATTACAGACTATCTCACTAAATTCTGATAACCATACAATGAACAGTTAATTTGCAAATTAACAACGAATTGTCTCAATCTTCACTGTTTCTTCTGTAAATATCAGTTCATCTTCTCTAATTTCATTGTTCATGTATTTTCCTACCAATTGCGCCTCATTTCAGTTCTTTCCCCATCGGTCTTCTGCCAAAATACATTCTATGTCTGACCATCGCCATATACTACTTATATGGATATAAGTAGACCATACCACAGTATCACCATCCATGTAAGTTAGGAGTATACACTTACTCATCGGTGCACAACATAACCGTGTGAGTATCATACATTTTCATGTAATGTATGAAAAGCAGAGTTTGATTCTATGACCTACTGCTTTGATCGTTAAATCACCATTATTCCACCTTCACATAAGTACAATGTATCAAAACATGGTTGAGGTCCGCGTGACTATCGTAACAAATGGTTGGAGACTCTGAGTGACATGGCTCAGAATCGATCACAATGGCGTAGGTGTTTACACTCTTTATCTTCCTTTAAACCTTGAGATTAAAATTGCTTCATAACGTTCCTCCTTCCTATACTATATCCTTATATACAATCTTTCCTTATGTACTACCACCACTAAATTAAGTACTTCTATGAATCCGGTGTTCATCTTGTTGTGCTAACGAGGTATGGCAACTTGGACCGATGGATATATGTGCCTTGTCCTACGTTGTAACTGACTGACTGATCAAAACATTGCATTAACCCCGACAAACACTTGGTAAATCAGTTATATTCGTATATTGTTGTTTTCTTTTTGAATTGTTTTTATTAGTTCTGTGATCAAACAGCTTATTCAGTGGATAAATTAGATCAAATTGGTGAACATGTATTACCATATGGTTGGGAAATTGTGCAAGATATAAAATATGGTACATTTTATATTGATCATATTAATAAACATACACAATATGAACCGCCAACAGTTGAAGATTTTCAATTAGGTGAAAAAGTACGCATGAAATATTTATCACAATTTGATACAATTCATCACAAAACTAAAACTAATACTACTATCAATAATAATCATAGTATCATCAAAAGTGTAAATAATAATAATAATAATAATAATGGGATCTCTGTTAATGCCAATAATAATCATGATGATAGTCAAAATGAATTAGACTCATCATCCATTAATGATAATGGACGTATAACTCCTGTGTCATTTTGTTCCGATTTAAAACAATTACGAGGTCCATTGATTAATACAGTTTTAGTGAAAAGTCCACGTGGTTTTGGATTCACAATTATCGGTGGTTCCGATTGTAATCGATCAGCATTTTTACAAGTACGTTTATTATTCTATTAAATTGATTTGTATTGTTTATGTAGTTAAAATGTATTTCAAAAGAGATTTTCATTGTTATAATTGAAAGATTACTTTATCCATTAAACTGGAATAATGTGGTCTAGCGAAAATGTCATCACTAAGAGACCTAGATTAGACCTCTGACGTGATCGTGTATAGTTATTAATGAGAAGCCTCAAACTAAACGAAAAAGCTGTCTCGTGCCAACTTCATATCGTTCATTCTTGTTATTTCACTGTTCGTTTCTGTTCATCTGTTCATGTCTCTTTCGAGCCTTATTTAGTACTCCAAACAGTTGAAACACTTACTTCATAGCCAGTTCCAAGATTTCTGAAAATCCATAACTATTGGATTCTCAAACAAATTAAAAGTTGAGAATACACTTACTTACGCCTGTTACTTCTCATAGAGGAGCATAGGCCGCTCACCAGCATTCATCATCCAACTCTGTCCTGGGCAATCCTTTCTACTTGTTTTCAGTTATTATTCATTCTTTAGATATCTGCTTCCGATTCCCAACACATTGTGTTCATTGGTCATCCTCCTTTTCGTTTCCCTACAGAATCTCAAGTTAGCGCCTGCAGTTTGACGATTTCCTCACTATGTGTCCTATCCATTTCCAAAGTCTTTTCCTAATTTCCTCTTCAACTAGAACCTGTTTTGTCCTCTTCCACAGTAGGCTGTCACTGATGGTATTCGAACAACGGACATTGGGTATTTTGCATAGACAACTGTTTATAAGTACTTGTACTTTTTGAATGAAGGTTGCAGTCGTTCTCCAAGTTTCAGCTCTGTACATTAGAACCGTCTTGACTTTCGTATTGAAGATTCTCACTTTGACGTTGTATTGCAAACAGCTGTTTTGAGTTTCATATGCTCCTCAACTGTAGGAATGCTGTCCTTACTTTGTCAATCTTTGTCTTTACGTCTGCATCTTGTCCTCCTTGTTAATCGATGATGATGCTAAGATAGGTACGTGAATGTTTCCATATCTTCCAGAGTTTCACCATCAAGTGTGATTGGGTTGGTGTTTTCCATGCTGTATTTGAGGATCTTGGTTTTCCCCTTGTGTATGATGAGGCCTACTGATGCAGAAGTGGCTGCTACTACACTGACTCTCTTTACCTACTTAGTGCATGACACGAGTATTTATTCAATTAAAATCGTAGTGATTATAGTACTAATAATAACAATATTGACATAATAATAAAATGGAAGTATCCTATTGAACAACAAAATAAACACACACACACACAAGTAATAAGGATGATGAAAAACAGTGTGATAAATTTTCAGATCGGATATTGATGCTAATTATAAAAGTTACTTGTTTGTTTGTTTTCTGTCAAGGATAAAATGTAAAACTAATTAACTAATTATGGATAAAACTAAATGAAATCGAATAAATAATTCAGAAGGGGTTTTGTGGAGACTTCAGTATTTTCATAGTTGAAATCATGAGTAAATTGAAGCTAGACCACCTTGGAAAACCTGGAAGCACTGGACGGCCGTTTCGTTCTATTATGGGACTCCTCAGCAGTGCGCATCCACGATCCCGCACTCGCGAGATTCGAATCCAGAACTTATCAGCCTCATGCCAGAGCACTTAACCGATAGACCACCGAGCTGGCCGGCATCCGATGGTGTTAATGTGTAACTTCAACCAATACACAAAATCTGAGCGACCGTTCACCAATTGTTGGATGCCGGCTCAGTGATCTATCGGTAAAGTGGTCCGGCGCAAGACTGGTAGGTCCTGGGTTCGAATCTCGCGAGTGCGGGATCGTGGATGCACACTGCTGAGGAGTCCCATAATAGAACGAAACGGCCGTCCAGTGCTTCCAGGTTTTCCAAGGTGGTCTAGCTTCAATTTACTCATGATTTCAACTATGAAAATACTGAAGTCTCCACAAAACCCCTTCTGAATTATTTATTCGATTTCATTTAGTTTTATCCATAATTAGTTAATTAGTTTTACATTTTATCCTTGACAGAAAACAAACAAATAAGTAACTTTTATAATTAACATCAATATCCGATCTGAAAATTTATCACATTGGTTTTTATCATCCTTATTACTTGTGTGTGTGTGTGTTTATTTTGTTACTTTAATGTATGTATGTATGTTTGGATACACATACATACATCTCATTGTCCTTAAATGAGATAATTAGTGGATGTGAAAAGATTCTGTTTATTGTAGTCATTCTGTAATTTCTTATACCTATGGTTAATTGTTTATTTATAATTGCCGCATTCATTGATGTTAGTTATGTATCAATTATAGTTTTTATGTGAAACAATGGTTCAATGTTTTCAAGTGTTGAATTTTTAAGCATTAAATCGTAGGTCTCGAGTTTTATCTCATCTATTTGTTTTGGCTTACGGAACCTGGTAGTATTACTTACCGTCACATATTGAAAGTATGAATGAAATTCAAGTATATAGATTTGTGCCCGGCAAATGAATTAACAATAGTTTATGTGGTGCACTATTGATGATTATGTGAAGTATTAGTCTGCTTTCCGGTTGAGCAATGGGGAAAGGAATATGAACTTCTGATTTAGTGTATACATACGATATAGCATCTTGAACTGCAATATTCTTCTTGTTATTCACTGCCAAAAATTTGAACACATAGTTAAAATAAATTGTTAATAACACATATATATGACCTTCAAGATAATTCAAACAATAAAAGGTCACAATTCCTTAAAGTTTGTGTTATCACTATTATACTTAACTTCAGTTTTTTTTCTTTGGCAACAGTAATTATACATTGATTTAAACTCTCAATTACTTCCAAATGGAACGATACTTAATAATTACTGTCAGTGTTTTATATCATTTATCGTAATGGTGTCATGGTCATAACTCGTGAACCTCCTGGATAACTTGATAATGTATAACGTGATAAGACGGTCAATTAGAGAGCAGCGAATTATCGATCGGACTGTACGAGCAGTTTAGAGTACTTGTCAGTCATGCTTCTGCCTAGCCCAGCCAGTTAAGTTCAAAACAGCCTCTGCGGTATGAATCATTATGTTTAAAACATACCAAACTGCATCGTACCAATAGAGTAGAAAATAACATTTGTACAAGATTCAGCCAAATGTAGGAGGCAGTAACTAATAGACTAGGGATAACTCAAGAATGGTGAATCGTATAATAATAGTTCATAGGTCAAAATAAAGCTTATAATAAAAGGGATACAAATATGGATAGTTTAGTTACTTAACAATTATACAATAAAAATATACACATAGTATTGGTTCATAAACTGGTCCCAAAGTCACCATTCACTATTGTTATCGGGATATAACAAGTCCCCATAAAAATTACATCAATACAACTCATTAAATCAGCTCATCTAGGTAGCATGTATCATAACACGAATATTTGTCACTTGCACTTCTCAAATTTCACATGAGCACAAACGTAGCAGAAATTAGCACGACAAAAAACATGAAATAACTAAACATGCGAAATGCAGTTTATATCTTCTTATGATACCTTGACTGTACTTAACAAAACAAAAGAATAAATCCATCGTTTTGTCACTGTATTTTATCTTTTGCATTCGACATTTTATTGTTGTTCTCGATTGCCGATGAAATTGGCAATGTTTTCATTAGACTGTTTTCGCTGTCTGATTTGTATCCGCTTTTTCTTTTCACTGAAAGCTTTTATTTTGCAAAATATGTTTGAAGATTGAAATAAATTGTGCGTATACCCACTTGGGTTCACATTACCATAGTAATACTGAACTGAATAATGAATAGAAAGATTGTACCGGAGAAAACCATTCATTAGGATACACATGAAATACTGATAACTTGAATTATAGTCAGTTGAACGATTACAACCAATTAACAATACACACAAACTGTACGCTGTTATTGAAGCTATGAACCTATCTATTATTTATTTATTTATTTAAACACATAAATATTGGTACAAGGAAGCACCAGATAAATATGCGCCTCACAAATCTCATTCGATTTGTGTGAGGGCTGTGATACTGCCCAGGTGCCCGAACTAAAGCAGGTGGTTTTCTTAGGGGGCCACACCCGGAGCCTTTGACCTGAATGTCTGATCCACAAGGCAGTGTTGCATCGTGAGGAGATGCAGTCCCATGGTAGCCGGTGATCAACGGTTGATTCGTATGTCATTTGTTCCCTCAGAATACTGGAGCCCATGTGCACCACTGGTTTGGAATGAGGGTTTTCCAACTCCCCTAGGTGAACTTTCCATGTCCACCAACCCGGTTAAAGCGACGGACATTCGCTTTTCGTCCTCTCACTTTCGTACACAACACCCCCGCCACGAGAAGGCAGTGAGTAGGACTTCCCTGTCAGAGGCTATATATTCGCTGGCCATATGAGAGTATTTCGAGAGGGAGAGGTGACTCTCCCCACTCTCGGCCGTAACAGGGCATTTGGGGGCATGAACCTTTCTAAGATACACCAACACTGAAAACCCGGTGACACCGGGTAATCGTTTCGTCCTAGTATAAAACGACTCCTCAGCAGTTCGCATCCACCATCCCACCATAAGAATAAGGCCTAAAACCTTTGGTTTTCCAAGCAGACGTTTCTCTTCCAGACCTCTGAGCTAGCATCCAACGGTGTTAACATCTAACTTTTATCAATACACCACTATCAGTTTGTTTTGCCTCAGTAAGGTTCCTGTTTCATACACCTTACATTTGAAAAACATATATTCTTTAAATCTATTGCTCATGGTGCGCCAAAATCCCGATGCCATCAAATACATTGTTACAGCAGTAATATAGTTTCATAAGAAATTCTTTAGATCAACTAAATTGACCTTAAACCTAATAGAGATACATGTCAACAAACAGTGTATTGTATCATGAGTCATCTGATTAACTCTAATGAAACTCTTCTCTATTATGGGTTAGAATTACAACCTAACTGTTTAGTATATTAGGATCTAATTGAAACTCAAGTTGGGAACAATTACATTCACATCGAGTGATTTGTGCTGAATGTGAATCTGTATTTATTCCAGACACTACTTGACCTCATAATTATTGTGATTGATGTCTGGTTAACATTTTCGACATTTTCTTTATTTATCATTCTCATAACTCTAAAACATGCAATTAATATTAGTACTTGTATAGAATGAGTACATCTCATGATATTTACTGTGCCTAGTGACATTTCTGTTGCGAAGAAACATGTTCACAATTTGCATCGTTGTGAATAAGTGAATATACATCTTACTCAATTTCCATTCAATCGATTCACTAAGACCACATGGGCAAACAGACAAGATAGTTCATCTAAGAAAGCCAAATGAACAATCAAGTGACTAACGTTTACGGAAAATGATTGTGTGGAGGCAATTTCGTACAATCAGTAACAATTAGTAACTTTTCATCACACACTGACATAACCTGAGAAGCGATTGAAAATGATAAGGAACTGAACAAATGTGTCACTTTTAATTCACTTAGTATTGTTTGGTTGGATCATCCCATTGACATTTAGGACTGCAATTGATCGGTCTCTTATTGGTATATGTGCATACTGTGCGTATTGCCTCGATATTGCCTTAATTCACAAGCATTATAAGCAAAGTTGTATATTGGCTAGCAGTGGAATCCAGGACGCACGTTTGGTCCTATTTGAAACTCGTCGGCTGAATGTACCTGCGCATCCTGGATTCCACTGATAGCCACTATCCATCTTTGCTTATAATGCTTGTGTCACTTTTGTTTGATTGTTTAGCTCAAAATGTGTGAGTCAGATAGTCGGTTAGCCGTACACTATGATTTGACTTGGCACATATGCACATTAGTTCAAGCAACCGCATCATATCGACACAGAGAGATAAACTTATCAAGGGTATTATAAGTTTTACAATATCATTATTCACCTATGCTGTTATAATTAATAGTTAATGATATTACATAAAATCCCACCAATTAGATAATCCTTAAGACAAAAAATTACATACTACAAGTACTCTAATTTAAATATCCTCATTACTGACTGTTGTTCAACTTTATAATTGTATCATTGGACTCCACCTACACAATGTTGTTATTGGTTAAGCGTTCACTGGGAAAGTTTTTGGTCCTAGATACGCTTCCTGACTGACTCGTGAATAAATACACAGACGATAACTATCATCCCATACTCTATGATTTTAAAACGTCACCTCAAATCTGTGATAACTACAACCTACAGATCGAAAGCTTTGAAAATACGTTTAACTGATTTCGCTCAACGAATGTACTGTAGAGCGGTGTAATAATGGTTCAAGCACTTGACTTTCGCCTACTTTATTGTAGGTTGGTGTCCTACATCACTTACTTTGAACTGAACACTGGATTATCAGCCATAACATCGAAAATGCAGTATAAATCCAAGTACATAAATTCTGTGCTTAGTAAATAAGTCTAAAAATATTAATTGCTTCAAAATATGTTCACTTTCTAGTGTTTCATTACTATTTTTTCCCTTTTTCTCTTCAATATATTTACTTCAATATATTATTTAGGTGAAACATCTTGTCCCAGGTGGCCCAGCTTCACTGAATAGCCAATTAGCTGTTGGTGATGTTATGGTTAGCGTGAACGGGACAAATGTTCTTGGTTATACACATTCTCAATTAGTTTCATTATTCCAGTCAATCCCAGTTGGAGCTAGTATTAATTTACTAGTGTCACAAGGTTATCGATTACGGAGAGAAATTGGTGGCGATCCGCCAACACATTTTAATGGTGCAGTACCTGGCAATCATCTTGGTGCGACAGGTTTTGTATCCGGTGTGATTGATATTTCTACTCAGGTAAGTAGATGAGTTACGAATGCTTACCATGTTTTATTTGTTTTCAAAAGTCCATTTTATTCCATACACTAATCTCTGCCAGAACATGGCTATGAAAATCTGGTGCCACTCATTTCTACAATTTTTTAATGGACCCATGCACAAGGTCTTGTCACGTCTGAGTGCTCTATTTTAACATAATTATTTTTCATTCTATGTTTGTGTCCAAAACTAACCACCTTTATGATTTTATACTGTTACAGAATCAGTGAGCAAAACGGAGTATGAAAGTCTATAGGACGGTGTACGTGTAACTCACCAAGGACTACCCTTGGATCTGAAAGTATAATTCTTGGGATAGTTTAGACATGTCAGGAAACTCTGTTCATACTTCATTCGATGCTTCAGGTTCATTGACTCTTTGTTCACTATAAATCTAAAAACAGTTTGAGTAACTTTTTAAAAGTGAAAACTACAATTATCAGTCTGCTTTCATCCCCAGAAAGTTTTCTTCACCACCTTCCTTTTACCAACATATCTGCCATTTAAAAACCATGGATTGAATATCTTTGGAAAATGTCCATATGAGACCATTACAAATGACAGTGAATTCCTCTTACTGAAAATTTATTTATGATTCACGGGTGATACATAGTAACAGTCTCTACACCACAATCGACTAACTTATTTTGTTTCATATCATTGGCTTTGCTTGTGTTTTCATGCTTTATTCTACTAATGAAGCCACAGAATTCGGTCTCTAGTAATGGGGTTGTTAATTGCACAGAGCGTTTTTCTGAATTTATATATATCAATAACAATTGACAATGTTCAAATGTAAATATACAACATTGATGTGATTGACTCTCGCCTTTTGTAATTTGATCGTAATTAAGATGTTTGTCTTTTTAACTATCACTTACCATTTCCTTTCATTCAATTGTGTTTTGGTCTTAGTATCACTGTTGTTTTTTCACGTATCGTCAATATATTTATTTCTCGTCCCCCACCCTTTACTTATAGAATGCTTTAAACAATCTGAAACTTGGTGAAGATACAATAGATAATTTACCATTGACGGAGTTATATCTAGTTAATTCATCAAGGAATTCCGGTGTAATCTCTTCACATTCTTCCATTTCACCGACACCACCGCCATCAGCATCATCATCGTCTAATAATGGTAATTCATCTCAAGAGCTACTTGCAGTACGTTCTAGTCCGTCTAATTTAAATGGTGGTAGCTGTGTTGGAAAGTTGCGTAATTCACAAAGACCAGAATTTTTAAAGGTAATTGGTATTTGAATTGATATTATTATTAATTTTTAATTTCCATCCTTTTGAGACATCAATTCGTCCAGTTCTATTCTGTTATTACACGTTATTACTTTTTCTTATAGGATAGCATCAATGACATTTCTCTTAATTCATACTTTTACAAAAACACCTATTGCTACCTAAATGGTTGTTATCGCTTTTAGTTTGCCAAGTTTGTTATGTATCCCAAGGTCATTGGTTTTTGCTAAATAAACATAGATATTCCTTCTCAAATATGACTTCTTTTTGGTAGGAACAGTCATCGTGTAAGTCTTGTCTTCTCTTTTAACTGGTGGATTATTAGAATTGAATTGTTATCATGTGATAGACATCCAGTTTATTCTAGTTGCTATCCGGTACTTCATATTAGGATAACCCTCAATCGTTTGTAGATAGAATTCACCGTGAGCCAACTGGAAACTCAATATGTCAATTGTTCTTGTTAAGATATAAAACATCTGGGAAATTTATCCTTTACGATCCTAATGATAATGAAATGCTTAAATTTCTGAATGAATTTTTCTTATACTGTCTGCCAATAACAGTTGGTCTGTATATAAGTTTGTCTGTTACATGTATTACTTATCACCATACTGTGAACTGAAAATTGTTCAGGAAGAATTTCCAATAAGGTCGTATTGCATTTAGTTCGGTAAATTTTAGTTCACAGATTCAAATTAACCCACCGTTGAACAGTATTTTGATTATATTAATATCATGCATAAATTTTAATCGGCAGCCTCGTGCCTACATGAGCCTACTAGTAGATTACCTTGTAAGTTCCAAAGCCAAGACTTAGTATACATTTATCATGAAATCGGCCTTTTATTCGTCAAGCTAATTTTGCGAGCAGCTTCGAAATATATTCTAAAGGTTTGCGTGGCCAATCTTTATACCAGTGGAGCTCAATTGTATCAGAAGTCAAATAGTTGTCTCTAGTGGCATCGGACGATCACCACACTTTATCACGAATTGATTCAAGTTCGAAATCGTTTGATTACAAGTAAGAGGTTTGAAGTTAGGAATAGAGTACTACGTAAAGAAAAGAAATCGATTGATGAGGTAGTAAATCTCCATCAACTGAGGTGATTGGGACATATGTTATGTATACCCAACCACCGCCTACTTTGACGGACAATGTCGTCTGGTATAGAAGTAGGATGGAATAAAGCTAAGGGCGGCCAAACTAAAACATGGCATCAGTTCATGAAGTCACTTATGTCAATGAGTATAAACTGCCTGGTTGCAGTCTTAATCAATAGTTAGAGACTTTGAATGACATGAATCAAAATCATTTGGAGTGGCGCAAGTGGATCCGTTCCTTGTATTTCCCCGAATTCGGAGGTTCTAAATTCTCCATCACGTTTTTAGTGTTTATATTTCGCTAATTTATATTTTCTTTTCGAGTTGTATTACCACTGATGCTGTAACTACTTCTACTATTTTGGGATTCGCCCTGACAACTTCGTCTCTCTGTACCAATGGGGTACGGCAACTTGAACCAATGTACATACATACAAGTTCTACGTTGTGACTGACTGAAGAGGTGTGAAGGGTGAAGTTCTCATTGGGATTCTTAAAGATCCTATGTCCAGTGCTAGGACGAAATTGCTTTTTAGTGCCTCGTAATTTTTAATGATCCATTAACTGATTTCTAATATCAGTTAATTTTCTGTCCTTTTATAGAAAAATTGTTCGTGGACTCTCAAAACTTATTAAGTCTTTATACCAGTCCCATACTAGAACAAAAGGACTATCCAATGTTCTCAGGTTTTCAACGTGGTCTAACATTGATGCTTTCATAATCTCAATCAAAAATCAACAGTCTCCACAACCTTAAGCTGATAGATGTCTTTTTTAAATTGTAAACACTGAAAACTTGACTAAAATCTTTTCTGAACATTTAAGTGGATATTTTCACAACAACAGTCCATAAATTTTTGACATAGATTTTTCGGTCCATGATGTTGTGTTTGGTGTTTGAACGAAAAATGGCTAACAGACTTCACTTTCGTTGGCATTCATCATCAACGAAACATATCGGAAACGTTGGAGTAAATTATGCTTCTTTGAAATTTCGAAGTTGTACTACCAGTGTTTTCTGTTCAACATTTTTACCACTCGCTTATTCAGGATGTCATTACCGACCAACCCCTACTCTGCATTATCATATAATAACATATGTAACTTTTCTTAGTAGACATACTCCAATATCTCTCAATGTAATTATTTCAATTTGATATGATTACATTGTATAGTTTGAACTGTAAAATATGCTAAACACTTTGTTCGTTAGTAGTGACCACCATAGTTGAATAAGTTTTTCTTACCGGAAGCCTTTTTTCCATGCCTAATTACCTAAGTAATAACCATTTCTGATTGTGACACCAAGTCACAGGAAAGCAAATCACATATTTGGGATGTAAATGATCCATTATATAAATTAGTTAATATTGTATAACTTAACGTAAATATCACATTGTATGCTCTATCCCAATATATCTTGTTCAGTATTAAGGAAAGTTGTCATCATATAAGTACGAATTGATTTTGATAAATCGAATACCGGTATTTATCTATTATTAACTTCTGTACCTTAGCAACGTAAAAATCTCTTAGTACATATTTTCAAAGCACTGCTCAGTTCTGTGGTGGAATAATCAAGTAGGCGGGTCTGTGGTTAGACGTAGCGGATTAAGTAGAAATGGAGAATGAGTTTATGGAAATGTAAGTTGTCATAGACTATAGTGATTGGAACATATGTCCACCCATCCCTTGCACGAACGTGATTTTTATTGTCATACCGGGCCGTGTTGTGATCAATTTTTGTGTAGTCTCAATCTTTCTAAACAATGAAATAATGACATAAAATTTAATCTTAATGTATAATTTTTTTTCTAATATATATTTGTTCAGGTGGCAATTTTCAAACAAAACAATGGTTTCGGCTTTACTTTGGCCGATCATATCCAAGGTCAACATGTGAAAGCTATCTCAGATCCAGTAAGGTGTGGTCGCTTACGTGTTGGTGATGTTATTGTAGAAATTAATGATCAACGTGTAAAAGATATGCCACATGTGGAAGTAGTTCAAATATTGAAACAATGTCCAGTTGGTAAAGAAGCAAGATTACTTGTTCAACGTGGTGGTAAGTTCTCCGTGTATTACATTTTATAATTTACTATTGTGTTATTGGTTATAAGCTACAACTTACATCACCTATGGGGAAGACGAGATATCCGTCTATCAATTGAGGGACGAGTATACTGCTCAGCAGTTCGCTCTATTCTACTTTACGGCTGTGAAACGTGGCCATTAAGAGTAGAAGGTACTCGTAAGTTACTAGTTATTGACCACAGACGCCTTAGAAATATTGCTCGCATCTGCTGGGATCACCGGGTAAGTAATAGTCAGGCTACACACAGGGTATTAGGGAATAATGGTAAATCAGTTGATAAAGTTATGAATCTTCATCGACTGAGATGGTTAGGCCACTTGTTACGTATGCCTGAACACCGATTACCAAGACGCGCTATGCTGACTAATGTAGGGGATGGTTGGAAGAAAGTTAGGGGCGGCCAAACCAAAACGTGGCATCAGAGCTTGAAGTCACTTACTTCTAATCTGAGCCATGTTGGTAGATGCAGACTACTTGGTTGGGGTCCACGTGACCATTGTAACCAATGGTTGGAGACTCTAGGTGACATGGTTCAGAATCGATCACAATGGCATAGGTGTATACACTCTTTACCTTCCCTTAAACCTTGAGATTAAAATTACTTTATAACGTTCTTCCTTCCTATACTATATCCTTATATACAACCTATCTTTTATATACTACCACCACCACCACTAAATTAACTATTCTATGAATCCGATATTCATCTTCTTGTGCTAACGAGGTATGGCAACTTGGACCGATGGATATATGTGCCTGGTCCTACGTTGTAGTTGACTGACTGACTATTGGTTATCAGCTAAACAGCTTGTATCATTTGTTTTTGGAAATTTATTGTTATCATTAACTTAATTTCAGGTTCACGGATCAATTTATTTGTTTCGTGAATTTTATAGTTAGTAATAATCATTAGAGTCCTCGATTCACCTTCACTATGTTACGGGTTTCAACTCTTTTGCATAAACTTCACTTTTAAATGATGAGATAATACCACTGCAACTATAACACACATAATTTTACACACCATGATCACATATATGGAAACTAGCATTTGAATGATGAGTTACATTCAGTGTTAGTAACATATGGTTTCATCATCATTTGAGACACTATTTGAAATGAGGAACTGTTTAGTTTTAGTCGGACTGTGATTTCATCGTGATATTACGTAATTATTTCGACTTTCTTATCCTTTATACTCTTTGATTTCGTGCAACTAAATGGTACATTTCTTTTATGTCTGTAAAATAGACTATTCAAAGTTGATAACAATGACAATGTCATTTGTTCATTATTGAATAATAATACATCAAAGGGAATCATATAATAATTTAGAGCTGGCAGACGTCATTAACTTCATATTTGACTTATAGTACTATGGTTCTAAAGAAATTACAATACCACAATTACATAATGTAATGTTTGTCTGGCATGATTAAGGTGGAAGACATAACGAAAAGTTCACTTAATTCTCTTCAATTCATGACCCTTTTTCTCATGTCAAAAAGGCGATTAGTTCAATTCTCTATAATGTGTGTCTGTCAACAAAAAAGCGTTATACGATCATCAGTATCCATATTCACAAAATCGGCAGGGTTACTGTTGCTTATTCAGTTGTCTGTAGTTTAGGTGTTTTCGCTTGTGACTGAAGGTTCTGAGCTTGATTACCGGATGTCACGATATTCTGGTCTTAGCTAGTGAAGCCTGTTACATGACTTGTTACCGGGTTTTTAATGTTTAAGGTTTCAATATTTCTCTTTGAGAGTGGTATCAAGTGACCTTGTGGATCATTTTATAAGCTTGAATAGTTAATACTGATGGCATATTTGAAAGGAGTTGAGGACAGGAGATGAGAGTAAATGATGGAAATAGAAGAAATATTTAAAAGCGATTGTGGACAAGAATTGTTTAGACTATCCATTTATCCAACAAAACGATACTTGTATATACGGTAGTAGATTAGTTTTTCGAATTTCATCCATTAATTCACTGGTTTGGAACTCACTGAACTCATTTAAGTTCAGGTAGTCGGTTAGTGTAACTAACCACGCTAAAATTTATGACTTAAACCTGAGTATACGAATATGTACTTGGTAAACGAGTTACGGTATTTAACAGGAACAGGAAATAACTTTTTAGAAGTCACTCAATGGCTTATATCATAAACGCTTGATTGTCAGATTAAATTTTCTGCTCATTATATCACAACTGGAAATGTTTTCACTGTATTCTTTCATGATTACTGAAGGAACAGTTTTTCACTAATGTAAACCTAATGTATATGATTCATTTAGTATTGTTTGTTTGAATCTTCCCATCGATTTGTTAGGACCGCAATTGGCCAGTCTCTAATTGGCATATGTGCATACTGTGCGTATTGCCTCGATATAGCCTTAATTCACAAGCATGGTAAGCAAAGATGGATAATGGCTAGCAGTGGAATGCAGGACGCACGTTTCGTCCTATTTGGGACTCGTCAGCTGGATGAACCTGCATCTCAGAGTTGATGTTCACTCTGGGACTCGAACGCAGAACAAACAATATTGAATGAATTTAAACTTCACCCCATCGCAAAAGCAAGTGGCTATCAGAACTCAGTGGCCGAGTGGATAACGCGATGGCGTTTGAAGCGAAAGGTACTGGGTTTGAGTCCCATAGTGAACATCAACTCTGATATGCAGGTACATCCAGCTGAGGAGTCCCAAATAGGGCGAAACGCGCATCCTGGATTTCACTGCTAGCCATTATCCATCTCTGCTAATGTATATGGATAGGAGTTTAGTTTTGCTAGTTTTATCAATATAACTAATTAATTAGTATTGTTCTCTTCCATTAGAAAACTAATAATCACATGAATCATGTTTTTTCATTTAATCATTTGATTATACAATTTATCAAGTTTCAGTTGTTTTCTTTTCATACAAATCGTTTTTCGATAATGATTGATTGCCTCACCGCCAATTTGTGTATATGACCTATGAATTTCCAGGCAAAATGTAAAAAAATGCAATCAAAATTAACACATTCAGAAATAAGATATTCTTGTCTAACTGATACGGTTTATTCAATATTAAGATGGAACGATTCAATATTACCTGCTAAAGTGTTCATCAATGTTGGGTTAAATGGCGCCATGTTCTTCTAAAAAAATATCTAACTGTAACGTATGTTTGAAATTTTTAAGCAAACTTAGGTAGTAGTTATGAATGGAATACAAGATGAGCGTTTTCTATGATTTGGGACCCTTAGATTGAATGTACTTGCATCCCAATGTTTTAACTCACTCTCGGACTCGAGCCTCACGCTTCAAGCGGGAAATTTGTCATTAGTTTAGCTACTACTTAATACTTAAGTAGTTAAATGAAATTTTCAACATCAACTTGAAATCCAATGAAAAACCACTCCTGGGATTTCAGTAAACAGAGGTTCAAGGTGAAGATAATATGCTCTCATATATTTGCTTAATTAAACTAATGACGTACCGATGATATGTTGTAAAAATCACAGTATATATCGATTACAATAAATTTGAATATCTCCTCTGAACACCAGCTTACTGGCTGAACGTAATGTTGTGTTCATCGTGAACTCAAATACTCTGGGTCTAATCTAATGTAGATCAGTGGTTGCATACTGTTGAGAAGCGTTTCAAACGAAAGTGAAACAGTTTTTCAATTCCTTATCATTTTCAATCGCTTCTCAGGTTATGTCAGTGTGTGATGAAAAGTTACTAATTGTTACTGATTGTACGAAATTGCCTCCACACAATCATTTTCCGTAAACGTTAGTCACTTGATTGTTCATTTGACTTTCTTAGGTGAACTATCTTGTCTGTTTGCCCATGTGGTCTTAGTGAATCGATTGAATGGAAATTGAGTAAGATGTATATTCACTTATTCACAACGATGCAAATTGTGAACATGTTTCTTCGCAACAGAAATGTCACTAGGCACAGTAAATATCATGAGATGTACTCATTCTATACAAGTACTAATATTAATTGCATGTTTTAGAGTTATGAGAATGATAAATAAAGAAAATGTCGAAAATGTTAACCAGACATCAATCACAATAATTATGAGGTCAAGTAGTGTCTGGAATAAATACAGATTCACATTCAGCACAAATCACTCGATGTGAATGTAATTGTTCCCAATATGAGTTTCAATTAGATCCTAATATACTAATCACTTGGGTCACCTGTAACTCAGTTATAGCATACCATGTTCGGGAAGCTATAAATTCGTGTTTCATGTTAGTTCACATTCATTTGCTATGCGTACTGGCAATATTAAAGGAACCCATGCTTCACTTAGCTGTTGACCTTTCATCAGTCAACTCCACTGACCTGTTCTTAATTTTTATGACTATATTCATCCATTTAATCATGTGGCTAGACATATAAGTAAATCCTGGATCTGGGTTTCGTGCTGTTTGGCATTCTTCAGCAAGATGTATCTATACTCTTAAGGTAACTGATACTTCCTGAGAGATTTGTTTTCTTCTTGTTTATTTTCATTTTCAAAGACGTTATCACTGTAATATTCGGGCCGTATACCACTTCTTATCTGGTGAAATATATCACTATTGTGTAAAATTGTCTAGTTTACATTTTATATTCATTTCAGTTGAATTTCGTTGTAGATAATCAAATACTTGGATTTTTTACTAACGTACCAATTGCAACTATTTCTTATTGTTTATATTAAGTTAGTATGTTTCATTGACGGCTGCGTGTTGTGTGTAAATAGTCGGTATGCTGACTTTTTTCAATGGTTCAATCAATAGATATACGGTTATAGGTTTTTAGGTTCAAACTCCACTCCACACTTCATTTTGTACGGCTTTCTAGTTGTATTATTTAGCAATAAGGCGGCGTGCATCAAAACCAGATACATAAACACATATTTTTGGTGGTATTAATTTTTCCGAAATGGATGGTTCAATAGATAATCTTTTATTGTTATTATGGACAATTAATAATGACTTTATTCAAGATCTTCAACTCGTACTTCATGTAGTAGTTTTCCTATTGATTCCACAAGTACTGTTTTGGTTCATTCCAATGACCTCGTTGTTAATAATGATATTGAAAGCTTTGGCATTCAGTCATCTAACTCAGAGAGCTCGATATCACCAAAAGCATCCACCTGAACTACAAATTTTCTCCATTGTCATAAATATTTGAATTTTTTAAAAAATGTTGTGGAGCCAACGGGACAATGAAACAATCGCAACGGACAAAATAAAATACATTCTCAGTCTATCACTTTAAATACAATCCTGATCACCGATATGATCGAATGAATTTTGTACGATAATTGGTTACAGATTTTCATCATGATATCCATGCCGACAGTAAATGTAATTCCAAATCCCTAGAACCATTTTGTGTCATTAAACCTTGGAATATCAGAATGGAAAAGCTTAGTTTTTGATTTGGAAAGAAAGATTATTAATTAAATTGAAATATTGATAGCGTAGTGAACAAAACACAGGTGGCGACAATCGAATGTATTTTAGCACATTACAGAATATCTCATTAAAATATGAGAACCATATAGTAAACATTGTAAGCAAAGATGAATAGTGGCTAGCAGTGGAATCCAGGACGCGCGTTTCGTCCTAGAGTGAACATCAACTCTGAGATGCAGGTACATCTAGCTGACGAATCTCAAATAGGACGAGACGTGCATCCTGGATTCCACTGCTAGCCACTATCCATCTTTGCTTATAATACTTGTGAATTAAGGCTATATCGAGGCAATACACACATTATGCACATGTGCCAATAAGAGACTGATCAACCGCAGCCCTAAACATCAATGGGAAGATTCAAATAAGTAACACTAAGTGAAAATATAGCGAATAGTTAATTTGCAAAATAACAATCAATTGTCTCAATTTGACTGTTCCTTCTGCAAACACTCGTCCATAGTCTCTGATTATAATTGTTCATGCATTTTCGTACCAATTGCGTGTCGTTCCCATTCTCTCCTTATCGATCTTCTACTGAAATACATTCAATGCCCGACCATCACCATGTACTACTTATGTGGATATCAGTAACCCATACCAAAATTTATTTTATTCATTTATTTAAACACATACATATTGATACAAAGGTGCACCAGATACATATGCGCCACGCAAAACAATGAGAATGGGAAGAGAAAAGTGAAAGATGCATATATATAAAAGAAAAAAAGTCGGATGAGAAAAAAGAAGAGTAATGATGGGAGGAACTGAAATGTACAACCAGAAGAACTCTTTCAGTTAAGAAAGTTATAACCACTCTTTATAAAGAAAGTAAAAGAAGACTACAGCAGAATCACAACTGGATTCTATTCTGAGCCATATCTGATAACATCTCTAGCCACTGTATTGCACCATGTCTCGGACCTTATCTAGGGAGTCGTGAAGGACCAACAGAGGCTAGCCTTCTACAGCTTTCTTTCATGACACGACACCATGTCATACACTGACCACCTCTCCGCTTTTTTCAACCAGTCCCAGAGTCAGCAAATAATGCACAACTTGGAATTCTCTGGGACGGCATTCGTAGAACATGTCCTAGCCACCCGAAGTCAGAACCATACCACAATAGTATAAATGAATATCATACTAAACAACTATAGAAATCGAATGAATTACATAATAGAAATTTATCAGAATACCCATGAATATTCCTAATGTAATAATCAATTAATGCAATTTCCAGTATTCTACTGTCAATTCTGTTATACAATGATTATATTAAATGAATCCCAATCATAATTTCATTTGCTTATGATCAGTCACATTTACAATGTTTTTTTTCTTTTGTTTATGGTATATATATATCTATATATGTAGTGCTTTACATATAGATTGATAGGCATAGTACCACTCTGTTTTTCTTTTTTTTTCTTTTCTTTTTCATGTTTATTTTCAACATCAAAACCATCAGATTATGTCATACTTATTTTTAATGGTAATAGAATAAACATTAAGAGATGAGTGGTGTACGGAGAAAAAAAAGTGTTTTTTTCCCTTATTTTTCAAATGGATTATATTGATCATTGTTTACTGGTTATAATTGAATTAAACACATTTCTCTCAGTCAACTATATATGTTAATGAATATATGTGTTTAATGTAATTGAATTCTCTTATTTGAATGGTTCAATTGTGAAGTTTTTATTGATTGTTGTTTTGATTAACATCGGCAGTGGTTACCTATACATGTAGCTTCACAATGGAACCATCTAGCTTAGAGAATTCAACAGTATCAATAATATCCGTTTGATATTCCTCAGCATTTCAAAGTATATATGTGTAATAAATAGGTTTTGTACTTTATTCATCTATTTGTGATTTAATTTATACAAAGAATAATGGAGTTCTTGGCTTGACTTTAGTAGATCTCAACACATATTTGCTAGCCTGTGAGTAATGCAGAAGAAATATTGCTCAGAATTCACAGTCATTGTGGTGCTATGTATGTTGTACATTAAGTCGATATCAATTGAATTTTCTGCAAGCGTACCTTGAACTTTATTATAAGTCGTTTGATTAACGCTAATGTGTGAAACTATAAGCTCCCACTGTCCTTGAATAGAGCTTCGACCTTGGGTAACCAATAAAAGGATTGGTATGTTTTTAAATGTGCACTTATTAGCAAATGTGACTATTCAATATTTGTATTTCTTCATTATACTTATGTCGTAATTGATTAATAGACAGACAGTTACTATTAACACTAATCCTGGCACAGATACATGTTGGCACAAGTTATCGTACTAGATTAGAACAACAAGCTGTCATAATTAACATTTATATTTATGTTAGTCACGATGTTATGCATTTCAATTTATCATAAATAATCCTATAATTTATTGTTTTCTCTATGGAATTGATAGGTTTGTATACCTCCCCGTTATCTTTACTGGATGCTGAATTCCTTGAAATGAATTCATTGAATTTCAATGAACAGGTATGTTTACTATATAATTAGCAACTTTTTTTTTACAAAGAAGGACTCATTCATTATCAGATTTCAGTATTTTCATGGTTGAAATCATGATTCAGTCGAGGCTAGACCACCATGGAAAACCTAGGAGCATTGGAAGGCCGTTTCGTCATATTGTGTGACTCCTTGGCAGTGCGCATCCACGATCCCGCCTCGCAAGATTCGAATCCAGGACATACCAGTCTCGCGCCTAAGCGTTTAACCACTAGACTCATTTATTGTTGTTTTGTATTCAATATAAACATTGTAAAGTAAATTGTGTGAAAGGAATTTCACTGGATAATTAGTACAATTTTAATATGGAATGTATTTGTTTTAATGGGCTGTTACAGGTATTCATGGATATTCAAATAGTTATCATATAATACTATGTTGATCAATGAATTAGCATATAAAGTATACTTTATTCAAAGTGGAATCGTTTGTAAACTCATTAATTATCGTATTTATTTATTATTTATTTAAACACATAAATATTGGTACAAGGGGGCACCAGATATATATGCGCCACACAAAACAATGAGAATGGGAAGAGAAAAGTGAAAGATGCATATATATAAAAGAAAAAAAAGTAGGATAAGAAAAAAGAGGAGTAATGATAGGGGCAACTGAAATGTGCAACCAGAAGAACTCTTTCAGTTAAGAAAGTTACAACCACTCTTTATGAAGAAAGTAAAAGAAGACTACAGCAGAATCACAACTGGATTCTATTCTGAGCCATATCTGATAACATCTCTAGCCACTGTATTGCACCATGTCTCGGACCTTATCTAGGGAGTCGTGAAGGACCAACAGAGGCTAGCCCTCTACAGCTTTCTTTCATGACACGACACCATGTCATACACTGACCATCTTCATGACAGTATAAAGAATCTGCATATAATTGAAACTGCTAAACTTACATAAATAAGCAGAGATGGATGGTGGCTAGCAGTGGAATCCAGTTTCACGCGCGTTTCGTCCTATTTGGGACTCGTCAGCTGGATGTACCTGCATCTCATAGTTGATGGGGCTCGAATCCAGTACCCTCGCTTCAAACGCCGTCGCGCTATCAGTATGCACATATGCCAATTAGAGACTGACCAGTTGCAGTCCTAACAAATCTATGGGAAGATTCAAACAAACAATACTAAATGAATTTAAACTCCACCCCATCGCACAAGCAAGTGGCTATCAGGACTCAGTGGCCGAGTGGATAACGCGATGGCCTTTGAATCGAGGGTACTGGGTTCGAGTCCCATTGTGAACATCAACTCTGAGATGCAGGTACATCCAGCTGACTAGTCCCAAACTGGGCGAAACGTGCGTCCTGGATTCCACTGCTAACCACTATCCATCTTTGCTTACCATGCTTGTGAATTAAGGCTATATCGAGGCAATACGCAGAATATGCACATATGCCAATTAGAGACTGACCAGTTGCAGTCCTAACACATCGATGGGAAGATTCAATCAAACAATACTGAATGAATTTACATAAATAAGGTTCTTTGTATAATATTCTTTAAAAAATTTCAGTATATAGAATATAAGAAGATTTTAGTAGTTTCATATAGTTGAGATCATGAGTCAATTGAAGCTAGACCGTCATGGAAAACCTGGAAGCACTGGACGGCTGTTTCGTTCTATTTTGGAACTCCTCAGCAGTGTGCATCCAGGTTTTCCATGCTGGTCTAGCTTCAATTGACTCATGATCTGAACTATAGAAAATAAATTATAAATATTGAAGAACCCATCTTTATTTTAATTTTTCAAGTTATATAAGTAATAATTCATTAAATAATCCCTGTTCACACATTCACATTTCATTTCTGTCTTGTTTATATTTGTTTATATTTTCATATAAATTGTGTGTGTGTGTGTATGGCTTAAATGTACCTTTTTGATGTATGTTTGTTCTCTGAGCTCACCCACCTTAACTACAAATCTTCTCCACCATCTTAAATGTACCTTCTTCAATGTTCAATAATATTAATAATTAAGTAGGCAGATATTTAGCAATACAAATATATGTCGGCTGATATATACTTTCTGTAATACAGTTGTAACGTAATTGCATTTTTTTTCCTATTTCACTTATATTGTCTATTATCTAGTTCATTTCCATTGGTGTTTTTTTTCCCCTTATATCTACTGTTTCCTCTTTTTATTAGTCTATGTAAAAGTTATCCCCAATTTTTTTTCTTTGATAAGGTGTTTGTTTGTTCAATTACTTCAACTAAACATAATGCTTTGATTAATATCATGCACGTTTCTAATTTTCGTTTGTTACATTATCATAAAAATGATCACAAAAATCCCTAATTCATAGTTGTATCTTTTACGGTTGTGTATATGGATAGATAGTTTTGTAAGTATGTGCTAATGTTGATTTGGCTGATAACATCGATCCATATATATTGAAAGCCAAAATTAGATATCCTAATCTGGTTTATTTTTTGGCGTTGCTGTGATGATAGTTTGGCTATAACAGTGAATGTAGCTTTCGTCTATCTTCATCAAATTTGATCCATCACGGTTGAGGGTTATCGACGATTCAGTGTTTCATTTTCATTATCTTCAAAAGGGTTCTCATATCTGGTGGTAAACTATATTGATAACTCCAGGGTCTGACAGTGTATGTTTGAGAGCAGTTACGATAATTCACCTAGTAGCATCATCTTGAAACACTAGCTCCAGTGGGCTAGTCATGTGTTACAAATGTCAACTTAGTGACTTCCACATCGTGTATCATTTGTCAACTCTGGGACTGGTTAGAGAAAACGGAGATGGCTATTTTATGACGCGGTACCTAGGTACAAAAAAGCTATACAAACCTGCTCTCTTTCGGTACATCACAACTCCCTAGTTAGAGTTCTAGAGATGGTGCGGCTCGGTTAGTTAATGGTTAACTACGTTCGGATTTGAGAAATTTTCTGAGATATAATCATGCCCCTATTCAAAATACGTTTGGTTACTATCGATTATAAAGGAAACTCATTTAGAAGTATCTTACTGTTAAACAGTAATAATTCCTGAACCACTCAACATTTGGTTATCTTGATAGCTGCTGAATAGTTAATGACACATACTGTTGATTAATGCATTCACCGGCTCAAACCCATTCAATTTTGTATAGATACCCGGTTAACGTCATCAAGCCTCACATAAAAGATGTGATTTAAGGTCGATTACTTAAACCTGTACACTGGATTACTGAGTCACACTTAATTTTTGTACTCCCCACTGGGTCAATATTTATATGATAACTGGAGAAACAACTGAGTACTCAAATTTGCGTTTAGACTCGAAGCCCAATAGTTGGAATTGGATCTCTGTAACCCGTTACACCAACGCTCCAGTATTGTCATTTCTTACGTTTCCTAAAATTTAAAACATCCATTTAATTTTGTCTTTAATTAGTTATTTTGTTTTCATTTTCATGATTGTTTAACGAATTGTTTATTTTACTTTTCCGCTGAATTGATTTTTCTGTTTTCAGCGTTATCGTGGGAACATAGCTAATCATCAGTATATAAATGGTATGTTTATATATTTTTTTCTAAATTCTCTCGTACATAAACTTGTGTACAAGGTTGAAAGTAAACGCGTAAGATAATGTAATGTAAGACAACCAATAGGCACATAGGGGGTCATTCTTATCCATCCAATAGGGAAACTACACGTCGACATTCTAGAATATTCCCCTAGCAGTGATTGGATGGAATGCCTTCGGCTCTTTCTGGGCTTCTTGAGGCTTCCTAGAGTTTACCAACGAGCCGTCCTTACACATATATTCAGGAAAGTAATGAATCAATAATAGATCATGTTTGGTTGTTACAAGAATGAAAGGCATTCAACCTGGGATAATCTTGGAGAATAAAAACAAGTTTCAAATTTTCTGTTAAGAAGACAACGAAGTAGTAGAAGTACGTTCTGCGGACTCAGGATCCTTCACAAAAATATCAATAGATGGCTTCTCACATAGATCTAAAACCACACAACAGGGTTATTCCCCATATCACCTTGAAGTTAAGTTGAATCGGGAGAAGGTTTTTCAAGTCTTACGACGTCATTTGTTAAGTCTGATAATTAAGTTAAACGATAATACTTCATTACAATCTATTATTGTAACTGGTGTGTGTTATTAATCATAACGAAGATGGCCAGTTCGAAATATCATACACTGGGATTACTGTTATCATAAGAATTGAATCACTTTAGGAAACTAAGTTGTTGTTGTAATGTGTAGAGTTGGATGGTGGCTAGCAGGTGAATCTAGGACGCGCTTCTTGTCTTACTTGGGACTCGCCATTTGAACGTGCCAACATCACAGACTTGATATCCACTCCGGGACTCGAACCCAGTACCGTTCTCAAATACCATTCTGTGATCCACTTAGCTACTCGCTTGTTGTTTTTGCTTTCGCCTCGAAATATACTTTTAATTTTGTATGTTGTTGTTGTCATCACTTTTACTACGCTAAATAATAAACATACAAACACACATCTATCCGCATAAAACAACATATAGATTATTTGGTACTATACTCATCCAAAGATTGTCATATTGTTTGTATTATTTTTTGGATTGAAATTAGTTTGTTTACTGATCAGGGTAATGTTATCATAAATAAATGTGCTTTTGGTCATAGATTTATTGTATTAAGTTTCAAGAAATAATGAAGAGCTTAGTGATATGCCTGTAGCTCCTCCGGGGGCTACTGCCGGTCCCAAGCCCGATTAAAGGAGAAAGGTTGGGCATGGGGTTAGCGAACCCATCCCGTAGAAAACCAACTCGCTGATAAAACGCTAACCAGAAAAAATCATTCAAGTAAGTAAGATATGCATTTTAGACTACATTTAATAGTGTCTTATAGTGAGAAATCCATACTGGATAAATGTTTCATGCATTAAGCAGATATCTGATCACACATTGTTGACAGCACCTCAAACGTGAAAATAATCTTAGTGTTTTTTTTCTATAGTAATCATAGTTTAAGGATTCATCTTTCGATCATTAGGTGTCAGGTTCACATTCAGTCTCACTAACCTCAGTTTGGGCAACCAGTTAGTATCATAAATCCTTATATAAAGAGTATCCTTTGAAGCAACATAGACAAAACTATACTTAACAATGGTATTCAACTTCACTTTCATCCTGACTACAATATATTAAACACTCAGACCCCGACTTCCTAACCCCTTTCTTTGTTACTGAAATCTTGCACTATTGAACCCTAAACAGAAAAAAATGGACATGAGGTGTGTACGAAGCGTTGCTTCAAAGGCTAACTTATATACAGAAAACAAGGGCATATGTAGTATTTTATGTGACCTTGGCAATACAATCCTTCGTTTTCCTTAATTTTCTTGGAGGTTTCTAAACAACATGGATTAGCCAAAGCATTTTCAACACTTCCCCAACCTCTCAAGACTGTTGGGGGAGGTGGAGTTATTTAGGTTTGTTTAACATAATCTCTTTGATTATTGTTTATACAAAGGTTACATCTTAAATTCCCTATTTATTTGAATCATTTTCCAGTTATTGTAAATGTTAGTTCATCTCATTTTAAAATTAGTTTTCATCAAAAAAATGACTACTGTTTTATCTTGGTTAACCACTGGTTAAAGCTTTTGGCTTTTAACTAACATTCCCTACTTTTAGATCTTACTCCACCTGCTTAGATTTGGACAGCCGTTAGTTTCATTACTATTTTACACATTAACTGTGGTTCAAAACCATGTACACGTAAATGCGTTTGCAGTAGAACTCAAGCACGTTTATGTCTTATGTTAACCCAGTCACATTGAGCTAATATCCAGTAATTCGTACTATTGACTACAGTTATTCACACTTACTGTTTCATGCATATCTCGAAAAATCGCTACTAATCACCATATTCATTACTTTAATGGTAATATGTTCTCTAAACTAGACGTCTTAATTGTAGAACTTTCATTTTCGTTCCTTACAATCCAGTCAGCGTCAGATACACACTTCTATGTAGAGTTGGCGTTGATAATATAACCCAGAACAAGAATACCAATTTTTTCATTAGACCATTTGCCGAAAAAAACATTCAACTAAACTACGATCCTTTCGATATTGATTATTTTCTGTATTTTTCTTTATCTATTTTTACTACTTATCAATTTTTTTTTCTTTATCTTTTTTCTCTTATCGTTTTATTACTTTACATCTTTTTTGAGGGGAGGGGGGAGGTTTAACATTTTATTATTTTATTTCGCTATTCTTTTTTTACCATTATGAAATATATATATGTTGTCTGATTATAATTTTACTCTTAATCCCACCTAACGATTGAGCTTTTGTTTCCATTTGCTTGTTTGTTGGTGATTGTTAAATATCTATGTTCAATAGAGTTCCTTTAAGAAACACAAGTTTTAATCCTATACTATTTCAATTATATATCTGTGATTTCGCTGCTTTCACATCTTCATTGGGTATTTGTAGACGTGTGCTCATGCACACACACACACACGAACACAAGTACGTGCACACTTCATTATCCAATTATTTTTGTTTGTTTGTTTGTTTTTGGAGAAAAACAACTATACAAAAAATGACAATAAGCTCAGTAGTTTTATCCTCATTCTCATTGTGGTTTTTTTTTGCTAATTTATGTGTCTTATTTTCAAGATGAGTCATTCATGGAGGATTTGTACTTGTTTGGTTGTTTGTTGTTAACTTGTTTAATTCTCTCTGTTGTCATTCTATTTTCCTAGGACTATCTTAAAAATCCTTTTACTTTAATTTAACCGGAAAGACTCTTCATTCATTTCTTTTTAGTTTTAAATTTTTATGTTCCTTTCTTTAGTTTAGGTTTACGTCGTTTTTTTTTGTTTACTTTTTATTCTCTAGTGGAATCTTTTACTTTTTTTTGTAAAAGATATTTTATTTTGGTTTGAAGGGGTGTTGGATAGATTATTTTTCATTGGTATATTTATTTCGCCATAGATTGATCTCATTTGGAGTACTCTTGAAAACTATGGTACTTTAGACAGATGTTCCATCATAGTATAGAACTCCTCAACAGTTCACATTCACAATCCTGCTATTGATCAAATCTAGGATCTATACATTTTGTGGCGAAAGTTTAATCCATCTAACCAAACTATAGTCAACTTGCTTGTTATGTAATTCATAATGTCAACGAAGTTTTGATAAATGTCATGACTGGGGGACAATCAAACATGTCAGGGAAAAAGTTGTCACCAATGGCATTAGATGAACGTGAAGTAATAGAAGTTGGATACTGGCCCAGTTATTTTAACAAATAGGTTCTGTTTTGGTTCCCTGGTTGGGTCACAAGTACGCACTGCTCAGAAATCCTCATACTATGACGTATAAACTATGGATTGCCCTCTAGTTTTCATTAGTTTCCGCGATCGATATCGATCTTTAACGAGTTGAAAATCCTTTGTTTTACTCTTTAAGTGATTAGGAGGATAGGGCATTGCTAAGAAGCCCAATTTTCTTCTGTTTATCGGAAACGCTTTTCTAAAGTAGATTCAGTGTTCATCGTTCCTTTGTAATTTATACATATAAATCTCATGTTTATTCTTTATCAAGTGCTTCGTTTTAGACTTAAATTTTTGACAAAATTGATCTTGAAACCTTTCTTTATTAGTTCTTCCTATATACTTACTTTCATCAATACATGTAAAATCATAACTCCGATTAGCAGTAGTTAGAAGAGTACTGATTCGCTAAGTAGTTGCTGATTTATGCACACATATTAACTGGAAGAAAGTTTCTTTCTTAGGCAACCCTCTTAATTGTTTTGTCCATTTACTCGTACCTAACATATAACATGTACGGATAACTGATACAGTCTGACTTTTTTTACCTACGATTAGAAGTTAAATATAACACGGCATTTTTCAGAATATACACCTTCTACAGAAATATTTACAATTATTGAATAACTTACAGTTCGTTACTCTTTCTCTGTTACAGATTTTCATGTTAAATCAACTGATCAACAATCAAACACATCAATAATCGGTGTTGTTCCCTCTTCTTCTCCGTCCACTAATGTTACTGTTAATAGTAATTCCATAAATACCACTACTATTAATAATAATCATAATAATTTGAGCATTATTTATGCTACTCCTCAACCTCAACGAAATCATGTAAGTGATGTTTTCCCCTATAAATTGAACTTTTTTAAAAAATATTTGTACTAGGTGTTTTTACTTGGACTATGATTCCATGAAAAACAAATTAATTCATGTTACCTATTTGTCATTGAATCTCCGTTGACGTGATGGCGTTTGAAGCGAACGGTATTGGGTTCGAGTCCCGGAGTGAACATCAACTCTGAGATGCAGGTACATCCAGCTGACGGGTCCCAAATAGGACGAAACGCGCGTCCTGGATTCCACTGCTAGCCACTATCCATCTTTGCTTTTATTCAATGATGTTCAACTTAACGTACTTTTTCATTATTGGAATAATTGTGTGGGTATTTTTGTTTGTGACCTTTTCAATATGTCCTAAAACTTAATTTATTAATCGATCAAAATTAAACCTTCGGTCCACTTCCTAGTTCCTTGCATTGTTTTCTTTCTATTGAAAACAACTTCAACGACGTTAACCGTATTTCTGATTTCATCTATCAATTATTTAATATTCTCACTCAAATTCTTCATCATCTAAACGATAGATGTTATTGTATACTAAAATGAATGTATGTTTCAATGATTAATACACTGTGACTTTAAAGTATTCATCTGAGTGCTGATTAATTCGGTAATATAATACTCTATTGTTTTCTAAGATACCCTGATTGATGTCAACCTATAACGACTGCTACCTACAAGTGTGTTGCGATCTTATTTTAAAAGATTAATGATAATATTCATTAATTTCCCTTGTTTCAATTCGATCTCTTTTACAGCTTTCTTCCAGAAGTGGTTATCATCATCGAACTTCCGGTAGTACAGGAGAAAATAGTATATCTTCAAGTGGTTCGTCACATTTACGTGCACAAACTCCAGATCCATATGTGGATCGGCGTTTAGGCTTAGATAGTCCTAATCATCAATATCATCAACGTCACTATAAACATTCGTATCAAAATGAACCGCTCGATTTAATTAGTCGGTCGAATTTCAACCAAACAGATTATATTTATCATTCCAATAATAACAATGGTAATATTAATAATAACATGGGTTTATCTGTGATCTCGGATCAACGCCGACGTGTACATCCCGTTGATGATAGCGGTAAATAAAGTATTATTATTGTAATCGTAGATCGTTTACGTTTAATCTTAAAATTAACATTATATAAATGCTTTTCAATAACCACGTTACCGGTCTATGTATTCGTATAAGTTCTATGAATATATCACCCTGTTGATCTATGTCTAATCAAATAAAGCGTGGTCCTAACATGAAACCTGATGGTTGAGAGTCAAGTTATACGATCCCCGAACTTAGCTGCTACCTCCATTCGATGATCGGGTTTGCCTTTCACGATGACTCAACTGAGCTGTATTGGCAGAAAGACATGTTCTTTTACGTCTTACTATTCCAGGTAGACCAGTTGGAGAACAGTAAGACTAAAAGCAGAAACTTATGACCCCTGATCTCAGATTTCACCAAGATGTTCTGTTACATTGTGTCAAATTAATTTTTTTGTCCCCATTTGTGTTCTCATTCACCACACAACTGTGATTAAGATTGACATTATGTTGTTTGAAACCGAAATATTCTCTCTTAGTTTAATTTCATGTATGAAACGACTTCTGAATAGTCTTGAACAAAAACTTAACTATACAGACTTTCTGATTTTCAATAAAGTTCTCTCTGGCTTAGTGGTTTATACTAGAAGTAGCCTAATTTGTAAAGTACTCATCATTATTCACACTAATCTTTGTATGTTTCTGTATTAATGACTGGTTACTTCAACGATCTACCTTTGTTTACTCTAAATCAAAATGATGACTTTTCATTATTATTACTTCTTAGGTTCTTATAACTAATTGACTAATGATATCAAAAAAGCTGATTGCTATATAACTGTCAGTTGTTATTTAATAATCATTGAGTTGTGAAAATTATTTTCAAGAAATGAAACCGGTACTTTTGTGTTAGTATCTCTGTATGTGTTTATTTGTTTTTGTATCCATCTACCTGAACAGTATACATTTGTGTTTGTATGTATGTGTGTGTGTAAGGTTATATCGATTAACATATTGTATTATACAGAAAATGGACATACATTTAGACTTAGAGAAATAGTAATAGATGTCTGTGTTTTAGTTTTTGCTTCTTCACATCAATTTTGTTTATTTTATTCTGTCATTCAGTTTACTCAATCTATTTGGTGATTTTCACCAATTCATTGTATTCATTTTTTTTTCTGTTTGCATAAATTTCAGCGTGTTTGTGCGTTGTGTGCTATGATGTGTTTATTTGTCATGGTTGCGTGTGTGTGGGTGTATGGTTCTGGCACTAACATATTTTCATGCATATTACAAAGAGTAGCTCAGTGTAAGTGGATTTTGTTACATTCGAACAAAGAATAAATGAATAGTAACCGCTGAAAACAATTTAATCTAACCGATATCAACTCATTATAGAAATGCAATCACTTGAGATTATTGTTATTTATATATAGTTGAAACCATGAGTCAATTGAAGCTAGACCACCACCATGAAAAACCTGGAAGCACTAGACGGCCGTCCCACAATAGGACGAAACGGCCGTCTTCAGATAACATTGGGTGATCTGTAATTGAATTATTCACTTCTGAGAAAAAAAAATGAAAGTAATGACTTAGTGGATAATATATACGAATTTCGCTAAGTTGTAAATTTGTATCCCATTCTATCCATTTCGGTTTGGGTAATTAGATAATATCTTCAATCTTCACTTTTAAAGAATCGGTCAACAGCAAGAACGCGAATCGGTATCTTTCATAACTGAGTTAATAATAGTCAACACGTACAAAAAATATCATTCATCCTACCTACAGATTTATTTTTTCATCAACATTATGTAAGTTGAACAAATTAAGTCTAAGTTTTTTCCTTTTTTGTAACTTCGTTTTCAGTTGTTGGTTTAAATAAAGATAATTTTTCACCGGAATCACCTAATTCATCAACAACTTATGGTTCATTACTTCGACCTGGACGTATGCCTCCATTGCGTCATTCACAATCATCCGTATCTAATAAACCAAACACTAATGTTGTTAGATCAGCAACAGCGGTAACAACGTCAGTAATGACATCCTCAACAGCACCATTATGTATGCTTCCTGGGGAGTTTCTTGTACATTTAAAGCGTCAGTCAACTGGTTTTGGATTTAATCTAGTTGGTGGAGCTGAAGAAAATACTCAGGTTTGTTTGTTATCAAAAGAAAATTTATTGATTGTTCGTTTATTATTATTATTGTTATTGAGAATATTGTTGGTTGTTCTTACTCGAACATACTGAATTTTTATAAAATAACTTCTATATATTAACGTTGATCTAAACACCTTTCTATGCAATCGTCCGATCATGCGTTTGAAATGACTTACTTTGAGTAGTTCTTTTCTGATTTGAGTAATTAGCTAATGCTCTCACTCGTCATACTATTAGAAAGAAACGAATACATTTCCAAGCTAGTCGGATTTCAGGTAGTAACCTTTATGTCTTCATACAAGGTTTGAGAAACCTGCTGACTATTACATGTTATATAGTTAGTTATACAATATACCCTTATGGGCCAGGGTAATCTTGCACTGGTTTTCAGGTGAACCAGACACCATCCAGACTTTCACGCGGCAACCCAAACAGTACAGCTCAATCCCGCCCCACAGGAGAACCAGACACTATAAAGGCTTCAACGTTACAATCCGAACAACTCAGCGCAACTACTCAGGTACCAAACACCCTGGTGGACCATGACTATTACATAATATGTGTTATACCTAAAAAGATTCTATTATATTGGGTTTAAATGACAATGGATGGACGGTGACGAGTCTTTTATTTATTTAATTAAACGAATGAACATAAGTTCATGGAGGCACCAGAATATATAATGCACCACTATAACTTTGTGTGAATGCTAAGATACTGCCCGATTGCCTAAACCCGAAACAGGTGGTTTCCGTTAAAAGGCCACTCCCTAACCCTTTGATCTAGAGATCTAATTCACAAGGCAGTGGGGCGACGTTAGGATATGTGGTTTCATGATAATCGGTGACGAACAATAGGTTCATACTCCACTTATTCCTTCAGCACAGGATCCTGGATCCCATGTACACCAGTGGTTCGGAATCAGGGTTTTCTAACTCCCCTAGGTGAGTCCTGCATATCTACCAACACAGGTCAAAGCGCCAGAAATGTGCTTTCTGTCCTCTCAATTTCGTAAACAACAGTAATGCCGAGAGAAGGCAGTGAGTAGGGACGTCCGTGACAGAGGCTATATACTCGTGGCCTTGTGAGAGTATTTTGAGAGGGAGAGCTGACTCTTCCTATCCTCGGCATTACCGGGGCATTTGAGGGATGTTTCTTGGGATGATTCTGAAAATTTCTCTTAATAGATATGACAAGCTCAGAAAACATTAAGAAGCATTTTATCCAAACAGTGTTTGATTAGAAGCTTTTCTAGAAATATCGCGAAAATGAAAAGTCACATGTAGAGGTTCTGATTGGCTGATTACTATGTTTAGTAGTACTCTAGAATTTTCAGGAAAACCCAAGGACTTCAAAAATATTATAAAAACCCTATATTTTCTGTACATAAAGGAACCTTTGGAGTAAAGTGCTTCCCGCATATTTTGTGCCTTTTCTCTCATGTTCAAGTCGCTGTGTAGTTCTAGCATGGCGGTTACGAGACTAGATTAGGATCCGGATATAGTGTTCAATCAACAAGACGTATCAATGTTAAACAGTCTATTGTGATAACACAGAAGTAATAATGTCGTATAAATGTAATATAACGTAATTTGTTTGTAAATGTACACACGAATAGTATTGAAGTTATATGGTGTCTTTCAAAGCTTTTCTTGATCAAAAATATTTTCTTTAGTGAGTTGATATCTCCCAACAGACCTGATTAAACTCCACTGGTTACTGCTTCTCACTAGGCCTCCAAGAAATACCTCATGGAGCCAGTCACTAGTGAGCATCTGATCATTATCATTCGAATCTCGCGAGGCGGGATCGTGGATGCGCACTGCTGAGGAGTCCAACAATAGAACAAAGCGGCCGTTCAGTGCTTCCAGGTTTTTAATGATGGTTTAGCTTCAATTAACCCATTATCTCAACTATATAAAATTACTAAAATCTCCACAAAACCGCCTTCTGATAATGATCATATGCTCATTAGTGACTGGCTCCATAAGGTATTTCCTGAAGGCCTAGTGAGAAGCAGTAACCAGTGGAGTTTAATCAGGTCTGTTGGCAAAAATATTTTCTTTAAAAATAAAAAACAATATAGCGATTGAACGACTTGATTAATTCATCAGCCATGTAAAGAAAACTATGCACACAATTTAGCTTTAAGCACATCTGTTCTGTCATAGATGAATATTAAGCACAAAGCCCTGAAGATCATTTCGGTTGTTACTTATTTTAGATTGATAATTCATGTTGATGTAATTTGCACTTTTTAAAAAAAATATTTCTTTTCAGGTATCTATAGGTGCTCTGCTTATGGGTGGTTCAGCTCAACTTAGTGAAGTTGTACGTACTGGAGATAAGTTAATATCAATTGATGGTGTACGTGTTATTGGAGCAACGCATGCAGAAGTTGTAGAATTATTAGACAGAGCTGCACATACTGTTGGTCAAGTTACACTGGGTTTACAAAGAGGAAAGGTTAGTTGTTTTTCTTCTCGTATTTTAGTATATGCAATAAATTAGTTATCGGTTATATATATATAATCTCTCAGAGCCATTAGTTCAGTAACCTGTCTGAATAAAATATATACTACATTGATAAACTTGATAAACAGGAATCCCAATATCCATTATTCCTCTCTCCCCTTTGTTAAGTGGTCACACAATCCATTATGCTATACATAAAACTGAATCTTAAGTAGATTGTCAACAGATTATCAGACAAAGAAAAATGAATTCATGTCAGTTTATTCTGAAGTATACTTACCGATTAGACTTTGGTGCTAATTGATGTTTAGATATTAAACATTATAGTTGGCCTATGAGAGGAATATACAAACAATGTTTTTAAGATATTCAAAACTGAACGCTGAAAAAATACACAGTCTTCTGATCGACTTAAATAACAGTACAAGAATATTCGAAATGTTTTCCTCTCATCCCCTCTCTCTAAGTGCAAAATTTTGTTTCAGGATTGGTCTGTGTCAGCATCTGAAGTTGTGATAGAGAGTGAAGTAGTTATGTACTTTGACCATTTCACTTCTCTCGGATGTTTCACCACCCCTGGTGGGTTAGTGTCTGACAAATTGCGGTATAAATTCAGAATGTTCTGTTGGCTTTTGACAATTTACGTCACTTGTAGAGTAAACGAACTGTATGTTCGCCAGCCATTGGACGATTATGCTACTCAGCAATTCTTTCTGACCTATTTGATGCCTGTAAAACATGGTCTTTATGAATAGAGGATATTTGTGGTTTATCTGTATCTGGTCATAAATGTCTTCTTCGTATTGCTCTCGTACGTTTGAACCGCCGAGTGAGCAATGCTAAGTTTATATATAGGGTATTAGGTAATGATGACAAATAAGTTGATGATGTTCCGAATCTTCATCGACTAAGGTGCTTGTGATATGTATTGTGTACGCTCAACGACCACCTATCTCAATAGGCGATGTTGTCGAGTGTAAGAGTAGTTTGGAAGTAAGCTTAGGGCGCCCAAACAAAAGTGTGGCATCAATCCGTGAATTCATCGATCGTTAGGTTAAGCCGGGTCGTTAGATACTGATCACCTGATTGGGGTTCTCCCGATCATCGTAAATAATGTTTGGGAACGATAATCATAGGTCAGAATCGGTCACAAATGGTACAGATGTATTCACTCTCACATCTGCACCTTTAAAATTATCTTATACTTTATTTTCCTCAAATCCAATCTTTCTTTTTGAATCATATTGTCTGCGTGTAATCATTTTTATCACCGTTGATACTGTTACTACTTCTACTACTCTGATATTTCCCTCGATAATTTTGTCTTTCTGTGCTGATACAGTGTGGTAACGTTGATCAATGTGTATCAGGTTTTTCCGTTGTTTATCACTGATGCGTTTTATTTCAAGTATATTTGCTGATTAAAATTCTGTGCTATGTTACACCTAAATTTTTGCCAGTAAGGGGTCGTGGAAACTGTTGGATTTCATTTAAGTCGTGAATCGATCTAAGTTAGACTACAACTGAAAACCTAGAAGCGCCATACGTTTGTTTCGTCTCAACGTGGGACTCCTCAACATTGCGTACCCATGACCGCACATGAGGACCGACCCCAGGACATTCAGTCTTGCACGTGAACGCTTAACTTCTAGACTACTGATTTTTCATTCAATTGTGTTACTGTCTAACTTCAACTAATCCACGACATAATACGGCTATCTTAACTTTCTAGTTGCTAAACGTGACCTACAAGGATACATGAGCAACTTTTGCTTCTAAAATATTTATACATCCAGCCGATGAGCTCTGAACGAGGCGAAACGCCAATTCTGAATTCCACTATTAAAAAACAATCTATGCATTCTATACTATTCATGATTGTTCACGGTCATTTGATTGTAAAAAATTAAAATTATCTCCAAGATAAATATATACAAATCATTTTATTGTTTGTTTCAATGTTTATTCATATGGTTAGGTTGAAATTGACAATCTCAAATCACATTATTCATTGGAACCAGTTGATGTTGTCATATCTCGAAGTGAAAAATCTGATGGATTTGGTTTCTTTTTGACTAATACCAAACCAAATCATAATTCATTAAATGAACATTCAAATGGTATTGTTGGGAATCGTAGTAACAGTAATAGTAATAACAATAATAATAGTAATCTTCAGAATACAGAATACATTGGTACGTGTTTTAAAATGAGGTGTTTTCTGTTAGTTTACCTTGATTTTCGTCAATTTTTTTCAGAAAATGTATTGAGAATTCGTCTGGTACAAAGTTTAAAATCGACATATTGCGCATAAAAAGGGTCTGTATACTTGAGAGTTCAATTTTAAATCATGTATAACACAATATTTGTCAAATCAATTAGAGGTTTGTTGTCGACTATCACTTCCCAGTTGCCTACACAGTACAATGAAAGATGCTTCTCGGTGGACGTAGAAACAAAACTTGGTTGGTAACGGTCATATCAGCTTGAAAGCTTAACCACTAACCCAAAGGGACATCTGGTTGAGGCCGGACATACTCTGTCTTCCCAATCCGTTCTTGACGTGTTAACTTCTGTAAGATGTACCAGTTAATCCTAGCCTTCGATCGTGAGAATTCAAAAATGCTGCTGATGACAGTCATACTATTATACATTCGGTAATATAACTTCATCGTGATGGCGTAATTTTCTGCATTTAATCTTATCGTTCTCTAGCTGAACTGTCAGGTATGATAGAAACACGTGTTCTAGCCAGTACATTTCAATAAAGTGGTCACGATAAGCAACTCCAGTCATCATATCATACTGACAACAAACATTAAGTATTAATTACTACTCAGTGGTCGACTGTTGTTGATTTCTTGGTCCTGCAATTAGTTAATTACGGCGCTAATTACTCATTATTAATGACATTGAATAGTGTCATTTTAAATCTCTCATAAGCATGTAACTATTTCTTAATTACAATTATTACCGACTAGCACGAGATCTGAATTACATGCTGTAAGGTGACAGCCTCTAATATTCGAATATCATATTCACTTAAGCTATGAATATATTCAAACTAAACACGAAGTTTTATTAATTGCCTTAAGTATATTAATACATTAGATTGTCTATCACTACTAGGAAATTATCATATCTTATAATAAATGAAGGAGAAAATATCCCATTTGGAATGAAGTAACTGGAGTTATGTTTTTTCTGTTTTATATGTATGTATAGCTCAACTTGTTCCTGGCAGTCAAGCTGAACGTATGGGTCTGTTGTCTGTTGGTGATCAAATATTAGCTGTAAATGGTATTCCAACATGTGGACTACATCATGATGAAGTAGTTCGTTTGATTCGAGAAAGTGGTAATCATATAGCTTTGAAAATTTTGCCATATTCAGGCAAGTGTTTTCTTATTTTCTGGTATTATTATATTTTTTTCTACTTCCAAATTCTTTTGTTAATCTATATTTTGACAATGTATTCGTTTGTTTTTGTATGTATGTATCTAGTATTCTCTTGAATGAACTAGTTGAAAGCCCAATTGAAGCTTTGTCCTACAAAAGCTTTAAAGATTTGATTGTTCTGTATGAAAACCTGTACATCAATTAAATATGGTTCATATTAGGTTTCTGAAGATTGGTTCCATAAGATTCTCCTCTCCACACTGTCAAACGCATTCTCATAGTCAAGAAAGTTAATATATAGTGACAAATTCCATCCAATTGATCGTTCAACAATGATCGGTGGCTTCACGATTTCGTCTGTGCACGACCGATCTTTACGGAATCCGGTCTGTTGATCTTGAAGTTGGAAATACACTGAGCTTTTCATCCGGTTCACTATCACTCTGTCAAAACTTTTCCAGGTCCTGACAGTAGTATGATGCCTCTGTAGTTCTCATACTTGCTGAGATTTCCTTTCTTCGATATATTGTTGAGGTATCCTTCTTTCCGGTCTATGAGAAATTATATATGTAGGCCAAACTCACTTCTTAATCTGATGATGCAGAAGAGTTCTATCTCAGGTACGTGATTTCGGTGGTTACATTCTTTAAACTGGGCGGTTTGGTCTTTTCTTTATTTTAATTAACATAAGCATCCACCTCAAAAAACAAAGTTCCGCCAACACCACTTCTTAATATTCTACACATCGTAGTCCGATTGCATTCTAGTTCATGGTAGTATAATGTGACTTTTACGATGTTCATCATACGGGTAGCAATCTTCTGAAGTATTTCCAAAAAAGTGTGAGCTTTCTTTTAGATAAGTAGCAGTTCCGTGTCAAAAGTTGTGATAATGGTTCCTATCTATTTCTTTAGTATGATTGAACTGTTGCTAGCCATAGGATCCAGGTTATTTACTTTGTCTTACTCAGGATTCATCATTTGATTATTCCTGCATCTAAGTGCTAATGTTTACTTTGAAACTTGAACCTGGTGCCTATCGCTAATGCTTAATCCATAGGAACTTGTAACTTCAGACAGCATCGAGACTATCCACTCAGGACACACGTTTGTCAAAAGAGGATGATTAGGATTCCGTCTTGAATATCAATATATTATTAGCTTACTTCTGTCGTCAGTCAGACAATCTCTATCGCTGCTAAACGCTACCATCCAATCAATCTTATTTTATAGAATGAACTGTAATTCTACTGTGATTTATATGTATATGTATGTGGATGCTTACAATCCAATCTCAAATTGTCTTCTCCATCTTACAGGCTCAGCTTCACGTGGACGTAAACATCCTTTACCAATGAGAGATTCAGTTGAATTTCCGGTTACACTGTTTCGTGGAAGTAGAGGTTTTGGTTTCTCCATTCGTGGTGGACAAGAATTTAATCGTATGCCACTAGTTGTATTACGTATTGCAGATGGTGGTGCTGCTCAAATGGATGGTCATTTAAAGGTACATTTTTATTATTGTTTGCCATAAACATCCTTTTTTTAGAATTGATTTACAAAAGTCTGAAACTCAAAAAATGTAAATTTATCCACCAAAAAATTAGGATGTAACTGTAAGGATGGCTCGTTGGTAAATTCTAGGAAGCCTCAAGAAGGCCAGAAAGAGCCGAAAACATTCCATCCAATCACCGCTAGAGGAACATTATAGAATGTAGACGTGTAGCTCTTCTATCGGTTGAATAAGAAGGCCCACCTATGTGCCTATTGGCTATCCGTAATGACGATTTACTTTCAGCCAAAAAAACTATAAATACAAGAGATTTTTGTACTATATTTGACACTATTTTGGGGAATAAAATTCCTACTTACTATTCTTCGGTCTTCTCTCTTGCGACGTTGCGGGTTCTATCATTCAAGTAGTCTAGTAGTACGCGGCATAGTAAAAACCAAAGCTACTTATCTAGATATAACAGTAACTATTTATAACAATAACAAAGGAATTCCTGTTTTGTTTTGCGTTTTAATTAATACTGCTAACATAATTTATATCTGAATAAGTCTTTTCATTCGATAGAAATCATTACTTTCATAGACCCGTTATGTGTCATATCAATTTAATGTGTCTTAAATACTCCATAATTTTATCCTCTTTAGTATTATCAGTTAGTAGACGAATGATTGCCTTTCCTCAATTTCATGTGGAACTTCCAAAGTTGTTATTTCCAAGTTCATTTGTTTCATAGTAACACTTGTATAGTTTCATCGGTTTTTTTTGCGGCCTGAATATCACGGTTACCTGTTGTTGCCATCTAGATATTTCAAGAAGTTATCTGTTTTCGCTTGTTGTAATACATCATTATATCTATTGATCACATAGCCTATATACGCACGTTTATGAACAGCGAATGATCTTTCGCTGTACAAACTGCAAAAAAGGACAATCAGAGACATCTTGATGGTTGACTTGAAGCGGCTGGGTTATGTGGGAAGCTACTATCTCAGAGAAGAGTTAAGAACTCGGAGTTGACTTTTTGCTGCTCGTACTGGTTTATGCGTCATTGGTCTGGTCAATAAGTTGGTGTTCTAATCAATGATCTTATTTCATGTTAATAAACAGTGCTATTAAGAACATAACACAATCACACACTGGTTTAGTAAAGTGTGAAAATCGCCCATCATTTTCACATCTTTGAATTATCTCTTAAAAAATGCATCGCTCCTTCATTCCTGTTGTTATTTTGATTGCCTTCAGTTTCCTTCTCTCTTCTATTCATTTCAACCTTCTGGTCGCAGACATTTTACTTCTGTCTGGTGTTACATACTCTTTATATCTGCAACATATGTAGCACGCACCACAGTCATTAAAGTATAATTTAACTATTTATAAACTCTATATTACTACTACCATTACCACTTATGCCTAAGTGAATATTTGCTATTTCTGTACACACAAAAAAACAACTAAAACTTCCTATTTCATAATATATCTATATTTAGGTTGGTGATGAATTAATTGAAATTAATGGTTATTCAACTATTGGTATGTCACATGGACAAGCTATTGAAATTATACAACGTGGCGGAAATACTATGCGTTTAGTTGTTCGACGTCGTTCTCCACGTGGTAAACAATCATTAGACCAACAAATATCAAATGGTTTAACTCGCATTATTGATAGTCGTATAAATGCAGGTAAATTCATTCATATTTTTATTGTCCAATAAAAATTTATTTGATACTCTTTCGGTAGACTTGACTGCTTTTTAGTTTATTTTTTTCTCATGAATCAACTGTTGTGTTTGAATCATTTAGAATTTTAGATTTAGATTTATCCAAGACGTCAAATGGATGAAAATCCATAATAGTGTAGTGTATGCTACCTACATTGACATATATAAGTAGTATATAACACCAATCAGACGTGGAATGCGTGCCAGCAGAAGATTGATAAAATTCCAACTGGTCAGTCTCTAATTGGCATATATCCATACTGTGCGTATTGCCTCAATATTGTCTGAATTCACAAGCTTTGTAAGCAAAGATGGATAGTGGCTAGCAGCGGTATCTAGGACGCGCGTCTCGTCATATTAGGGACTTGTCAGTTGGGTGTACCTGCATCTCATAGTTGATGTTCACTCTGGGATTCGATGGCGTTTCAAGCGAAAGTTACTCGGTTTGAATCCCAGAATGAATATAAACTCTGACATGTAGGTACATCCAGCTGACAAGTCCCAAATAGGACGAAACGCGCGTTAAATTGGATTCCACCGCTAGTCACTATCCATCTTTGTTTACAATAATTAACTAGTCATTGTATAATAGTGTATATTAAGAAATAATTTCACGCAAAATATTGATTACAACTTGATTTCTTATTTAGTTCACATGTTGTTTTCTGTATTACATAACATTTTATCAAAAATATGTTACAACTTAATGATAGTGTAGTTAACAGAATTCAATTGTCTCAATCTTGACTGTTCCTTCCGTAAATATCAGTTCATCTTCTCTGATTTCATTGTTCATGAATTTTCATACTGATTGCGCTTCATTCCTGTTCTTTCCTTATCAATCTTCTGCGAAAATACATTCTATGTCTGACCATCACCATATACTACTTATATAGATATAAGTAGACCACACTACAATAGTACGACTATTATTCTTATTCTACCCATTATCTACATGAATACTAATTAATCATCTGTGTATTTTATTTTGGCAATCACAATCTAATTTTGTTTATGTTTACATAAATCCTAATAGATTTATATAATTAAAATAGTTTATCAGATTAATTTTCCTTCAATTTATAAGAATATTTTAAAAAAAGAATTCAATTTACCTACAAAATAATACTTTACATGTAAGAACCTCTAGAAGGTTTGTTTTCATACTTTTTTAAGTTTAGTAATAGGTATACCTGAATTGAACAATGATAAAATAGGGTTAAACATATATGGTACGTTTATTTCATAATTTTATAGATATGTTTTTGGATAAGGTTATCTGCAATGTTTTGGCCCCAAAATGCTCTGATACAGCTGAGAGTGGGGAGAGTCCGATCTCCCTCTCCAAATGCTCTCACATGGCTACGCGTATATAGCCTCTACCAGGGAAATCCTACTCACTGTCTTCTCGCGTCAGGGGTGTCGTTTACGGAATTGAAAGGATGAGAAGCGAATGTCGAGCGCTTTAACCGGGTTGATGGACATGGAGCGTCCACCAATGGGAGTTGGAAAACCCTCATTCTAAACCAATGATGCACATGGGCTCCAGTATTCTGAGGGAACAAATGGCGTATGAATCAACCGTTGTTCACCTGCTACTATGGGACTGCATCTCACCACGATGCTCCACTGCCTTGTGGATTAGACCTTCAGGTCGAAAGCTCGGGGTGTGGCCCCTTAAGAAAACCACCTGTTTCAGTTTGGGCACCTGTGCAGTATCACAGTCCTCACACAAATCTCATTTGATTTGTGTGGCGCAAATATATATATATATATATATATATATATGGTACCCCTTTGTACCAATATTTATGTTTAAATAAATAAATAATAAATAAATAATAATAAATAATAAATAATTTTTAGTCATTTTAACTTTCATTTTGTAAGTGAGCACTACATATTCAAATGAAGATTGTATTCTCTAGTTATTTAGAGGAGGTATCCACAACTATCTGGTATGATCACGTTAGTGTAGATTAACTCAGTATCCAGGCTAGAAAACACAAACATAATACATAATAAAGCTTAAAATGAAATATAACAAAATGACACTTTAATATCCAACATTCATTCATAATATAAAAAGAAAAATAGCCTTTATCTCTGAACACACTACATTTCTTGAACATTGAGAAAATGTTCTAGATAATCTCAGTCATATTGTTTAAATAAGCTTTAACGATGCTACCCGACTTATTGTATAAGGTATTTTGGACTTAGAAACCTACAGATCTGATTCTTATAAATTGGATGCTTCAACTATCTGCTTACTTACTTACGCCTGTTACTCCCAATGGAGCATAGGCCGCCGACCAGCTTTCTCCAACCCACTCTGTCCTGGGCTTCCTTTTCTAGTTCTATCCAGTTATTGTTTATCCTTCTCATGTCTGTCTCTATTTATCGGCGTAATGCGTTCTTTGGTCTCCCTCTTCTCCTTTGGCCTTCAGGATTCCATGTGAGGGCTTGTTTTGTGATTCAATTAGGTGATTTCCTCAAGGTGTGCCAAATCCACTTGCAGCGCTTCTTCCTGATTTCTTCCTCCACTGGAATCTGGTCTGTTGTCTCCCACAGTAACTTGTTGCTGATAGTGTCTGGCCAACAAATCCGAAGTATCTTGCGTAGACAACTGTTAATAAAGACTTGTATCTTGTGGATAATGGCTTTCGTAGTTCTCCACGTCTCCACTACGCCTATAGCTCCTCCGGGGGCTACTGCCTGTCCCAAGCCCAGGTAAAGGAGGAGGTTTAGGCATGAAGTTAGCGTCCCCATCTCGTAGAAAACCAACTCGCTATAAAAACGCCAACCAGAAAAAATTATTCAACTATCTGACATACTAGAAAAAAAAATACCATTATCAATTTATCTAAAGGTGTTTATTACTTACTCTCTTTTGTAATCATTTTGAAACTACGTTTTTCTTTATGTTGTTATTGATAATCTATTGAGTGTATCATTTTCTTGCTGTAAACTTCATTGATTCTAGAACTATCATAAAGTTTATACAGGTAATAATGTTTTTAATGTTGTTTGTATGTTCTTGAATGTGTGCATGTATGTACATGCATGTCTATATTTGTATATTTATACATGGTTATATGTTTATGTATATATTTTGTATATAAGTAGAATATGTTTTTGTATTGTTCCCCGGAAATAAATACGCGTGTTGTTATGCATCTTTTGATTCTTTCAATGAACATTGAAATGAAATCCATTCACACGATGTTGAATCAGTTCACCGCTGTTCATATTCTTCACTGATATATTACCGTCCATACCTCTAAAAAGAGACTATAAGGAGGGTTAAACAGCTTCCTAGTGTTATTTCAATTTAAAATGTTTGCACACTTATAATAGAAGTCATTAGTGGTTGAAATTATCTTTAAATATCTAATACGATAATACATAGGAATTAATATAAGTAGTATGGAAACGATCTTGAAAAAAAAACGCTAGTTATCGAACACAGGAAAATATTGACATCTACTTCTGTAGAACAATTTCTCAATCATTGTCAGAATAAAAATCTAATCATGTCTTAGTATATAAATAAAGTATTGCAGCAAAGCATTATACATACTAATCAGTCGACAATATATTACTGATATAGTTTTCTTTATTCAAACCTAATATACATCGAATTTATTTAGTATTATTTGTTTGAATCTTCCTAACTGGTCAATCTCTAATTGGCATATGTGCATCCTGTGCGTATTGCCTCTATATAGCCTTAATTCACAAGCATTGTAAGCAAAGATGGTTAATGGCTATCAGTGGAATCTAGGACGCACGTTTCATCCTATTTGAGATTCGTCAGCTGGATGTACCTGTATCTCATAGTTGATGTTCACTCTGGGACTCGAATCCAGTACCGTTCGCTTCAAACGCCATCGGATTATCCATTCGGCCACTGAGTCCTTATAGCCAGTTGATTGTGCCATAGGGATAACGTGATGGCGTTTGAAGCAAAAGGTACTGGGTTCGAGTCCCAGAGTGGGCATCAACTCTGAGATGCAGGTACATCCAGCTGATTAGTCCCAAATAGGATGAAACGCTCTTTATCCTGAATTCCACTGTTAGTCACTATCTATCTTTGCTTACTAATATACATCAATTTGTTATTATGTAATCTTCATAGTTCAATGTGTTTGCATATATGCTTCCCTCTTATTAAAAATAACAATAATCAGTAAATGAGTTTTGTTTTTTTTCTTTGTTATTTATATGTGGGTATGTAAAATGCATGTATGTCTTATTTTTACGTTTTACCTTAATCCCTTTATTAATGTAACATACATTGATATATTACTTAATATAGATAAACGATCTCATCGACTTAGTTTTAACAAACATGACACTTCATCAAATTGGTTTCATCGTACTGTAATCGATAAAAATCATTCCTTATCTAATCAATCTCAAAGAAGAAGTGAATTTCTCAGATGGACAATTCGTAAATAATTCATTATTTATTTATTTTTTTTGTGAAAAACTTTTCTATCATACAACCTTTTTTTTCTTTTCTTTTTTTTAAACAAAAAGGAAACTAGACATTGTTCTTATTCAATTGAATCTTCTTGTATCTTTACAGTATATATATATATCTTATTTTTTCATGATTGATCAATTGAATTATATGTATATTTACTCATTGAATATTTCCACCCCCCTTTTATCTGATCGAAATTTTTATTTTTGTTTTTCTTTCTACTAAATTTTATCTCTTTTCTTTTTTATTTCTTCAATTCTTTTCACCTCCTATTTCGTCATGTCATGATACATTGATAAACCAATCATTACTAATTTGTCATTCATTCAATTCATATCAGTGATGATAATGATCACATATATAAATATTCAGTGAAATGCTGATTTAAAAAAAAAATTCTTGTTTCTAGCCAACGAACAAACTAATGTCCAATGTTTAATAGTTAATTATTCATGTATTTAATGGGTTGTTTGTTTGTTTGTTGACTTTATTTAATTGACTTATATATTTTATGCCTCATTAATACAGAAAAAAAATAAATTTGTACCTTATTTTATTTATTTACTAATTTATTACATAAATGAATAATGTGAATAAACAATTGTTTGTTTCCCTTCTTTCCTTCCTCTCTTTCCTCTAGCTTTTAAACTAATCAGGAAATAGGCAATTGGAGTATTAGTGGATATATCTTAACGTTTGTATTAAGTTAGGAAGTCCATAATTTGAACTCAACTCACCGGCTACCATGGGACTGCATCTCCTTAAGATGCTCCACTACTTTGTGGATCAGATCTTTTGGTCGAAGACTCCGGATGTGGCCCCCTAAGAAAACCACCTGTTTCGGTCTAGGCACCTCAGCAGTATCACAGTTCGCACACAAATCAAATGATATTTGTGTGACGCATATGTATCTGGTGCTCCTTTGTACCAATATTTATTTGTTTAAATAAGTACAATTGGGTGATATAGTTAGTCCTCACACCAATAGTTTGATTTGAAATCAAGTGTCTGGCAAATGAGCTTGTTCTTAGAAGAGCAATATGTCCTTTACATCATGAATAATTTTCTATATGGACTTCCTTGTATTAGAATTGAAACGTTTTATGCATAGGAAATCATCCATGAAATTTCAAATCCGCATACTTTGTAGATTTTCATATAAGTGTTAATACTTGTTGTTGCTACTATAGTTAAACAACTAAGCTACCCATTCATTCTTTTCTTGGTATTTTCGTTTACTTTTATAGTGTTGATTCATTATTTTGTATTTACAATCATAAAACAGTTTTCCTAATCAATTAAACATCCTGAATTTACTTAATTATTAAATGGCGTACTCAGTGAAAGTAGTCAGAATCCAGTCAATGATCGGCACTGTTTTGTATTGATACTCCATAACTTTTAAGTTAAGTTGACTTTTTCCGGAAGCATAGTTTCACTAAATCCTTCTATGAAGCTAGAACTCTCTGTGAAATTAAACTATAGAGTACATTTCAATTGACATGGATTTACCCTTAATGTGAAATTTTTGCGACATTTATCAGTGATAGTTTTAAACAGATACAACCAGTGTTTTTGTTCTTGTGTGATACTTTTAAGTAAACAAAAACGATTCTATCCATTTTTTTTTGGTATGTTTAGCACAGTAACTGGAAATGCATATAACCCGCAATAAAATAAAAGCACACATAAATATCAAACAGTGTGGCAGGTAACATCTACACTAAGTAACCATGGCTTACTGATCGGTAGCTCAGACATGTAAATGTAAACACTAGTCAGGTGCGTGGTCGATCAGATTGTAATTTGATTGGTTGAATCGCGTTGTTATGACAACACGTAATCAGTATGCTTGTATGGTAATAAGATGTATTAGTATGCAATATTTTACTGCATGATTTGATGGTCCGATATTGGTACATATGATTATAATAAGAGTTGCAGATGAATTGAGATTTTCGCTCATGATCAACTACTGTTGACTGAGATGTGATATAGACAGCGAAAAAACTTCAATAAAATCCGCTAAAAATATGACATCGGTCAACGAAATAATCGACCAGTTTACTGAACGTCTCAGGATTCATGAACAAAGTTTGGATCTATTGGTGACTTGACAATAAAGTTCTTTAATAAGATGGATTAATTCCGTACTTATTAGTCAAGGAACCATATACGCTGTTATAACTTATAAGGAGACTAAGTTGTGTGACTATAAACGCTTTTTAAATCATGTAATCGAAAACTAGATATCTATAACACAAGTTGTATTGACACAATTAAAAACCGGAAATGAAGGTCATGTTTAGAATGAAATTGGTCAATTACAACATAGACTAGCGAAATGTTATAAACTCATCACATTACTTTCTATGTTAAAACAGTACACTAGGTCTTGTCCGTGTCTGTACTCCGATCATAGATAGAAATTTTAGAACGTGAACATGAGTCCCAGTTCCCAAGTAAACAAAGTGTTTTTTCTGATGTTAAATTCTAAACTTTGTACAATAGCATACATTACAAAATATAAAATATCTCATCCTCAGTGTGTATATCCACATTCTTAAGCATCCCCGACCATCTAATTCAACACGCGATGTTAGCTAGTATAGAAGTAGGTTGCAAGAAAATCGGGATTAGATAAACTAAAACGTGACATCACATCAAAGTGTCATTGACCGCTGATCTGAACTATCTTGGTACATCCAGACTATGTGGTAAGGGTTCAGCCGATTCACCTAACCAATTACTTAAGACGTATGAAATGACTCGGATGGGTTCAACATTTATTATTATAGATGTTGAGTCTTAAGATTATCTTATAATTATGATTAAAATTTGTTCTTTCTAAATCATATTATCTATGTCTGAGGTGATATGAATTGGCTAACGATTGACTGAATTTCTAATAACTGTATAACGATACGGAAAACCGGTCTATGGACAAAATATAGTCATATTACCTTTTTAAGCTGCAAAAATGTAAAAGCAAAACTTTTTATTTATTCAAATCTTGTTTTCAAAAGTAACTAATAAGTCTTCTGACTGAACGCTTGAATCGGTTTCCTAAGCTCTCTAAGTAACCCCAGGCTAAATCTACACAGCTTCAAATCGAGAGAAAAGGCGCGAAATATGGGAAAAACACTACTACAAGATTAGTTTATGTACAAAAAATCGAAGGAATTTATAGCGTTTCATATGGCTTAAGGCTTCTAAAACCCTAGTAAACATCGTAGCAGTAGGCCCCCAAATGCCCTGGTACAGCCTCTTCAAATGCTCTCACATGACCACGCGTATATAGCCTCTGTCAGGGAAGTTCTACTCATTGCCTTCTCGTGGCGGGGGCGTTATTTACGAAATTGAGAGGACGAAAAGCGAATGTCCGCGCTTTAACCGCGTTGGTGGATACGGAAAGTCCACCTAGAGGAGTTGCACATGGGATCCAGTATCCTGAGGGAACAAATGGTGTATGAACCAATCGTTGGTCACCGGCTACCATGGGACTGCATCTCTTCACGATGCTCCTGCACTGCCTTGTGGATCAGACCTTCAGGTCAAAGGCTCCGAGTGTGGTCCCCTAAGAAAACCACCTGCTACAGTTTGGGCACCTGAGCAGTATCACAGCCCTCACACAAATCGAATGAGATTTGTGCGGCGCATATGTATCTGGTGCTTCCTTGTACCAATATTTATGTGTTTAAATAAATAAATAGTAGCAGTATAGGTGACCATCCAATCGGAAACGTGAAACATGACTTCACTTTCTAGATGTTTCGGAGAAACTCCTGTTCAATCCTAATTAGATGGTGTTTCCCAGTGTTCTTAGAGCCACCTTGAGCCTTTTTCGAGGGATACTCTGGATCTCACCAACAGTAACAAAATAAGAACTCCTCCTCTTATTACTAACAAATGCCTAACTAAATGGTATATAAATCATTCATACCATAAACTGCTTATTATTAGTAAACGAGACATTGGTTTAACATTTGCTTCTAATCGTAATTAAACTTTACTCCGTTTGATAACAATAACACAGTGGATGAATCCACTAAATTATATTAACAAATGGCTAAATTCCCTCTTGTTAGATCCATCCCTTTCTGATATTCATGAACCTTAAACTTTCGTGACTAGAATTAAAATTATTTTCTATGTCTAGAAAAATAAATGGAATCAAAAATAAAAAAAGTATTTTTTTTCTCTGAAAAACAAAATACACATTGTATTGACTGGGTTATGGAAACTCTTTTATGAATGATGACGTGGTCGTTTTGATCTATTTTGACTTTTAGGTTTCATTTTTCCTTGATTCGATGATCCATGATGATAATTTTCTGATCTCTTTCTTTTTGGAACTCCTTTTTCTTTTTCACGATATCGATGGCGTTTATGATTACTACTACTACTATTACTACTCTGTGAATGTAAACGTTTCTGTTCCCAAAATCGTTGTCGTTTTTCTTTTGCAGTTTCTTGTACATCATATATATGACCAACTTCTTCGGCACTTGCAAATAAGTTATTCAAATTGAATTGACTGAAAAGTAACAGGATGGTTTGAAAACAAAGGTAGAGGGTTAAAATGATAGGAATTTTAAAACGTTAAAAATCAGTTAATATAAGCAAAGATGGATAGTGGTTAGCAGTGGAATCCACGACGCGCGTTCCGTCCAGTTTGGGACTAGTCAGCTGGATGTACCTGCATCTCAGAGTTGATGTTCACTCTGAGACTCGAACTCAGTAGCTTTCGCTTCAAACGCCATCGTGTTATCCACTCGGTCAATGAGTCCTGATAGCCACTTGCTTGTGCAATGGGGTGAAGCCTAAATTCATTTAGTATTGTTTGTTTGAATCTTCCCATCGATGTGTTAGAACTGCAACTGGTCAGTCTCTAATTGGCATACTGTGCCTCGATATAGCCTTAATTCACAAGCATGGTTCAAACAAACAATACCAGCTAATATAGATTTAA